ACCGATGCCTCATCCTCTCTCCGTATCAACATCCCCAGGGCCTAATTTGGCCCGCCGCCACACGTCTGCAGACATCCGACAGCACGGCTGGTCCCCGTCGGCTGGCTCCCCCTACCCTCCTGGAAACCCCCCAAACGGCCCTTGGCCTTCATCACCAGGACACCGAACCCCGGTGTCTAGTGACCAGCAAGTCCGCGATGTCCTTGCCCAATACGAAATGGGTGCCCCCCCGTCGCCTTCAAGAACAATCCCGCCATGCAACTCCACCCACTGCCGAGCCTTCACCATCCATGCTCGGTGTCGACAATGGGTGGACAATTGGCGGGTCAAGATTCCCTCACGGCTCTTCGTTGCCCGCAACGCGTCGCTCGAGCATGGCAAGCAATGTGCATTCATTGCTTAATCCTGCCGATACTGCCGAAAGACCCGACGAGGACCAGCAAGCGATGGCAGAGGACCGTAAGCGGAAGCGATTGGAATAAAATCCTAAACATTGGAAGATTCCCAGCATCCATATTCCACTAATGGTGGCACTACATTCTGATTTTCCCATCAAGTCCCTATACCACCGACAAGCTATGGCACTTCATTCTGCTTCTCCCGCTCTTTTGACCTGCATATGTACCATTGACCAGAGCAAAGGACACTCATCTCCAGACATCTGAAGAATGTCTGCAGCTCTGATCTTAACCTTTTAATTGCGCCTGTAGATGTCACTTTCCCCCATTTCTTCTCCTTCACCTTTCATCTTTTCTATTTTTGGATATTTAATTCTGGCGAAGTCACGCCAATCCGGCACTTGGCCCACGGCTCTTCAGGTCCCCATATCTCGTTCACACACATCATATCTTATATACCCTTGGATTGGGCGGAGCAACAAAAAAACTCATTGAATCTTGTGGCACCTAGAGCAAGAGATTGGAATTGAATTGTATTTTATATTTGCAGTTTGATCATATCAATTGGAATGATGTTTTTTCTCTGCAGCCTGTTTTGGTTGGGTATCTTGTTGGAGTGGCACATGGCACATGGCACAGGATAACACCCAGCCGAGTTGCCATTTGAGTACATGTATATATGTAGTCTTGCTTGGTCATATCTAACCAAGGGACATTGCGCTGTAGTCTGTCGCTAACAGAGTTCGGACGCCGGGAGGCAATCCCACCGTAGCGGCAATGGGTTTAACCCTGAAGCACCTGAATGAATCAACGGCCCTGTGCGGCGCATCCAGAGCGACCAAGATCAAAGCCTAATCCACCCAAGAGAACCCAGAGCCAGCGAAAAGCTCGCGCAACGCTCATGTGCGTGGGGACATAGAATCGAATCTATCAACCGCAAATCCTCACCTCTTCTTTCTCTTCTTCGCACGCTCGGCCAAGAGCTCATCAAGATAACTCGTTGCCTTCTTCCTGCCCTTCGAGCGCGCAGGAGCAGACGCACTCTCACCCTCACCCTCCTCGCCACCTTTATCTCCGGCCTCAGCAGCCGCGGCAGCAGGATGCACACCACGACCCGCCCCAGCCCCACCCTTCCTCTTATTCTTCTGTCTAGCAAGCATAGCCGACCGACCATCCTCTTCGTCATATTCCTCTTCGACTTCAGCTGTCGCCACAGTAGCCGAAGCAGACGCAGCCGCGGCCTTAGCAGCAGCAGCCGCTGCCTTCTGCTCAGCGGCGGCCTTCATAACGCGATCGTAGTTCTTGCCGAGGAGTTGTTTGCGCAGTTTATCATTTGAGTCCAGCTCTGTGCGGTTCCAGCTTCCATCGGCTGCTTTCTGGGGGAGGGGGGCTCCGACGCCGAGACTGCGAGTTTGGTTAGTCGGTGCTTGTAGGGTATATTTTGTGGAATTGGGGGGTGGTGGTAAGGAGTATGTCCTGGATTGTAGATGAGATGGAAAGGCTGGAAGTATAGCACTTACGTCTCTGGCACTGCGGTGAAGATTTCATCTTCTTCTCGTTGGAGCTCTTCGTCGGTCTTGGGGTTTGCTAGTTCCTCTGGTGTTTGTTGCGGTAGCCATGAGGCTACGAGCCGTTGGCTGCGGGATAGGGCGACGTTGGCTCGGTTGAGGATTACGTCGGACTCGCTTTTAGAGAGCGACATTTTGGTTTCTTTGTGCTCAATGTCTCAATGTCGAGTTATTGGCGGATTCGAGTCGGTCTTTGCGGTTGGGATCTGCGGTGTTTTTTTTTTTTGCCGATATGGCGGAGGCGGTAGGCAGTGATCTATAAAGATGTACGAGATAGAGAATGAGTAAATTGGACTTATTGAGATATATTTCGGTAGTATGCTTGCCTGATTAATTTCAGTACTATAATGCTTAGTTCAAGCCCATTCCAGACATGTCCCCTTCTTCCTGTGTTTTCCATCAAAAACCTAAAGTTTATGAACTTCAATATGATACCACGATCACCGCGAGTCTTTCATAAAAACAGAATCGTAACCTCAGTGCCATCGTTGGAAATGAGGTCTCGGCTTTAATTTAATCATCAGTTCTGGCTTGTCCCACAAGAAGAAAACTTGTTGATCCATCCAGTCTTTTTCGGGCTGGTCCAATTCCATATCAAAGTTGAAGACCATGCGAACGAGAATCATACGCATTTCGATGTATGCCAGACTTAAAAAGACAGACATGAGCAAACAGTGAGTAAGCATGACAAATTTAGAACTTACTTGCGTCCAATACAATTCCTAGGACCGAAACTAAACGGTTGCATTGCAGTTTTACTGTCATTCCCAAAGCGAGGGTCGTCCAAATGACGCTCTGGGATGAACTCCTCTGCATCGGTAAAATTGGCAGAGGAGTGACTGGAAGCTAGTTGAGAGACGGAAACGGTAGTCTATAAAAGGCGTAAGCGGCGCTGTACGACTTTGCAAGCAAGTTAGTTCTGTACTTACCCCTCCTGGCACCCAGTTTCCAGCAATCATATCACCCTGGGCATTGACAACGCGAGGTAATCCAATTGGAACAGGAGGATACACTCGAAGGCTCTCAGTGAGGACGGCCAGACAATACTCCAGTTTATTGCAGGATTCCAAGGTGATCTCATCTTCCTTTGTAAATGTTGATCTGATCTCACCTTGAAGCTTTGCTAGCACGCGTGGGTTTCTTAGTAGCAGATAGGTCACCCCTGACAGCAAAGTTGCAGTAGTCTCCGAGCCGGCGATGATCAACGTACTGCCATTGGAGATCATTTCCTGGAAGCTGAGTCCTCTCTCGGTGTTTTGGTGCCTCAGAATGTTGCCGAAGAAGTCAGGTCTTTCGTTAGACTTGGTCATCCGACCCCGGACCATTTCTTTAGTCAAGGCTACGTGTGTATTCTTCTGCAGGATGATATGCTTTGGAGTAATGAATGGGATGATGTATTTCCATCCCGGGAGGCGCCGAGCCACATTTGTATAGGCGCCATACTTGGGCGTGCTCATGATGATAGAGACCCATTGGTGATATTCCGAATTCCTAAGACAGCCAAATGGCTCCCCGAAAGCTAGGTCTCCAATGATATCAAACGTTGTGAAATTGTACCAGGTTAGCATGTCGACAGTATCTGTGCCACCCTTGACATTCTCATGTAGGCGCTGTATCAAAAGATCAACATAGCCCTTGATTATAGGTTCCTGGCCGCGAAGTGAGCTATCAGAGAATGCATGTGACAACAAACGCCGAAAGCGAGAATGGTCGGCGTCATTAGATTCGATAATGCCAGGAGCTCCTTCAATGGTTGGCGTGTAGAATCGGGAATCTTTGGGCTTCTGACCATGGCCAACACGTGTGCCATAGATTGTCTTCCAGGCCGCGCCATCTGTAAAAGAATGTTCATCGGGGGCAATGCGAACTACATTGCCGTACTGTTGATGCAATGATTTCGTCCTGTGTGCAATTTGGCCAGACAGGATCAAGCGGATATAAGGTAGACGCGTGGCTGCCATGAACTTTGGTCCAGGATACTTGGCTAGAGGGTGAAGGTAGACATTATAAAGTAGGAGGCTGATGAGGTAAAGTGGTATCTATTTGGAAGTATGCCCTTGGTTAACCAAACTTCATTGAAACAATCCGACAGAACAATATGCACATACCAATGTCAGGCTCAGCTTCAATAAAGTGAGAACCACATTTGGGAAGTCTTGGAGGTTTGGAAGCGCCAAAAGATTACGAATGGCAGTCATTATCAGGGTTATCAAGCATAAGATCTGAAAATATTCAGTTTGAACATAATACACGACATTTTGAGGATATTTATACTCCTCCTTGGTCCCCCGTTACTATCACCTGCGTGACATAAAGAATAATGCCTCGAAATATGTTCATTATAATGAGCTATGAACTGAGACTCTGCCCATGGGGTTTAATCCCATTTGAAAAGGGTTTGGGCATCTGTGCATGGTTCCACAGCCTGGCTTTTATCCAAATAGATATTTTGGCAGACTTGACTTTTGATCTGAATGTCTTCCCTCCTGTTTAAGAAATTGTGACTCGGCATTCACCTAGTTATTTATAAGACATAGTTCAGACATTTTGAACAAGAATCAAGCATATGGTAGTCATATGGCCATAGGTTAGATACGTCATTGCATGGATATTCCAAGCTAATATATTTAGTTATGTACTTTGTAGTACATATTTACGTTGTACGTAGCAACAGGCTCTACGTATAGCTAGCGCTTTTATGCGGAGATCAAAATATGAAATGCAGCACAGGAAATGCAGCACAGGAAATGCAGCCTGATTTTATGCAACAGCATAAAAGCTCCAGGGTTGTGTTTACTTGGGGACCAAAAGAGTCATACTCTACGATGTCCATATTGAACAATTGCTCTACCTCTCACACGCCATGCTAATACCTGACATATTCTCGAATGATCTCCAGGTTTATTTTAAGCAATCGGGGCTAATCGGATCAACGATTATATTATTACCAAGATAATTACAAACATGGTTACTATGTATGTATTGTGCACGTCTTCTCCATCTACATGTGTGTCCTTTGCGTCCATGTGGTAATTCATACGCCATTCCTAGTGCTCTGGGCCAGCGGATCGTGCGCACGGAGAATATCCTGCAGTGTTTTCTGAATGGTTTTCAAGAAACAATTGCGAGCACGAAGATATGAAACCCATTCCGCCAAAGAGTCGAAGCTTGCCACTCCCTGGTAAGGAAGTATCTTAAAGGCAGTGCGAAGGGCCTGCAAGAATCCCAAGGTCAGCGCACGGACTGGATTAACCACAAGAATATACTGACCTCATCGAAGACTTTGTGTGTTTGAACTAAGTCCTTGGCAAGTTCGTTTCCGCTGCTTTCCACACTTTGTGGTTTGATCTTCACCCATGAATCCAAGATAACGCTGTCTTCCTCCTGTTCTATCTTGCTTCCCAAGAGACAGGCGGCCAGTGGGCTGACCTGGGTCTTTTGTATCATACCATGAGGCTTGCTTGCGCGGACCGATCCGAAGTTGTAGGCCATGATATAATTTTTCGATATGGAATAATCGGGATCCCTTTCGGCAATCTCTCCGGATTTGAATTTGATGGCTGTATAGCCAAATGGTTTCACGGCCAGATTGGAGGAAAGGCATTGCAGCAAGAGTGTCTTGATAAGAGCCTCATTTTTGGAATTGGTATTCAGGCTTTTGCAACTAAAAGAGGCCCCATTACCGAACGACAGTTTTGCAGGGATGATTTCGGCTGCGATCAATCTTTTGATAATTCGCTCAATTTCCGGGGTCGCTGTATGATAGACCTTGGACAGACAGTCTTTGGAGACTTCATCCTCAAAAGCCGGAAGTTCACCCTTCTTATGCAACATTTGTCGAATGGCCCCAAAGGTATTGGTGATGGCTATATGATAGCCCGACTCGTTGACAGAACGAACGAAAGATTCACCCACGCCTGGACTTGGATTTAGATCTGAGGAAGAAAGCATTTCTGAAAAAAGCTTGGGGTTCCAGCCGAGACTTGCAAGGATCAGCATTGGGTCCAGACATTGGAAAATAATGCCTAGAACAATCATTTTGCCCAAACATGGATCCATGTTCAAATCGACGAGAATGTGACCAAGACTGGTGAGTTCTTCTTGTTCGTCCAATAGTTGCAATTCCTTCAGATCATTCACTACAGCACAAACCCTGGATTTTCGAGGCGGCTTAAAGGTTTGCGCGAAAAGTTCTGCGATCGTAAAGGACGTTCCAGAGGTCGCTTGCCTAAGACGTAAACAGACTTGTTGGAGATCTGAGCGAGAAGTCGCAGTCTTTGTAGGTGTAGTAGCTGGAAGGAAATCAAAACACTTTTTAGCACCAAGAAAGTAGTACTCTCTAGGCTGGACTCCGTCCGTAAACTCTGCCCGCTCCGAGGCCACAGTTTCACTGATCCAGTTGATACCCCATCCCTTCCTCGTCAAACTGTTATCCATTGACTTGCCAGAGTCAACGACGTACCTCACGTCTGGCATTGCGAAATCACTCCTTTCTCTTGAAATGATGATTCTTCGGCAACCGGGAGGAATTCCAAGCTGAATTTCGGCTTTTTCTTCTTCCGTCATGCTTGAATGGAAGTGAACTATTCTAAACCGATCCTTATCTGTAAAATCGAACCCTAGCTTTGGGCCAAAGACTGTGATCTGCTTCATGACTCTCCCTGCGTCACAATACCTTGGGACGAAGGCAATGATGGAGCCTGTTTTTGTCGTAGACAAGAGCGAGAGAAGAGTCGCAGAAACCAACCCGGAAGGTACGAGCTCTTTTCCAATCCTGTTGAGTTTTACGGGTTTCAATTTTTCACACAATTCGAAATGGCTGCCCAGGAACATTTGAGTAGCCTTGTCTTTATGAAGGAGACACTCTATGATCTCCGGTGTCAAAGAATGGGTGATGTTGCCCATTACTTCTTCGAGATAATACTTCTCCACAGGGAAGCCCCCCGGAATAGTCACATGAGGAGCGGGCAAAAGTGTGCCATCTGTAGTTTTGGTACCAAAATAGGAACAAAGACCATCGACATGAGCAAATGAGCCCATCAGAATGACCTTTGGTACAGATGCACCAATAGACTTGCGCTGTTCAACAAATCGTTTCAAAAGCATCATACCCACATTGATATTGAGACCATGTAACTGAGCCTCATCAAGTATGATGTGGGAGAATCGCTCCAAGCTCGAGGGTCCATCTTTCAATATTCTCAGCAAACTCTGCCTAGAGCAATACTTGATAGTTCCCCGAGGAAGACGAGCGATGTGATCGGGTGACACCCTGTGAAAGGTAATATCGCCCAGTTCCCCGGATTTTCCGCGGGCCACTTCATATGCCATCTCGACTTCCTCTAATTCATTTTGCCGAACACAGAGAACCCTACAAGGTACCGCGGTAGGATTATTCATTGCATCTTCCAAGATAATTTGAGCAACCTGTCTGGTCTTCCCAGAGTCAAACCTTTTATCAATAATGCTGTATGTATTGCTGTTAATGGCATCCAATATTTGGTTCGTGAAAGGTCTCATGGGCAATTCAAGTTTTTCTCTTTCGAAATCTTGCAAGTCTGGACTATCGTAGGTGTCGGCATACTTGGGACCACGGCGAGAAACCTGTGGTTGCAACTTATCCTTCTTCCTAGAGCCGTCCGCCCAAAGCATGTCTCGATTGGCATACTCAAGCGCCTTTCTTGCATTTTTGATAGTAGACAATACATTACGTTGGATGGGTAAATGTATAGTGGTGACCTGAGCGGGGATATCTTGTTGCGGCTGGCTCGGCCGGTCATCTGTCGGGCTTCTGTTGGAACGGTTTTTGTTGACAGCCGACTCAAGCAACGGCGAACGGTATGTGGAATAGTGAGCACCAGTTGTTGGCCCCTTGAGTGCAGACCGATTGCCCGCAATGATAGGTCCTAGTCGGTGTAGCTTTCGAGTGGATCGAAATGGTGTGGTAGTTGACCAGATTGTGTGTATGTTTCGTGAGGATTGTGGGAACTTCGACTGGGCGAGTCTGCGGTGCGGATTGGAGGCATTATTCCCAACAAAGAGACACCCTTTTTTGATGTTCCGGAGGTGGATACAGGCACTGGTGCCTGTTGCCATTATGCAAATCGGTGGCCCGCGGCCCTAATGAAGGAAGTCCGGGGTAGGCGCGCGCATGGCACGGAGTGGCAGAGGAGCAGAGTAGCGGAATAACAGAATAGCCTTGGGGCTTAGGGGGAAAAGGGAAAGGACAGAAGCAAATTATGACCAGCAACTCAGCTGCGTTGTAGAATTAACTACTCGACTGCCCAGACCCGAATCAGAATCATTTTTCTAAAAAACAAAAAAAAAAACAGACCGCGCCCTTAGCTCTGGTCTTGGCACTCTACAAACTGACCTACAAACTGACCTACAAACTGACCTACAAACTGATAATGTAACTATCAAAATATCAATGATCCTCAAGGTTCCTAATTACATCAATGTATATATTAAAATGGGTCTGAATGCTCTCTTTTGGAACAGGGTATAAAATGTCATGGCATCATTTGAAGGTCTTATGTACAGTCTATCTCTATGCCCGTATACTATGTCTAATGTGCTCTAGACATCTCCCCATTTTGTTCCAATGTAATATAACACAGGGTATAAAAAACAAGAAACATCAACTTAGAGAGCTCACACTGAAGCTTCCTTTTGATGTTTCGCTCGCAACCTTTTCTCCGTTTTCATGAACTCCCGGATACCAACAGGGACATTGGCAAACAGGTCATTATCTTCACTCGGTGGGGTCCAATTTGCTTCGCTGCCACCACCATCATCATCCATGCTTCCACTGGCTGCACGGACTTCCGCTCGAGGCGCCGAGCGCATGTCCTTCGTTCCCTTCTCAGGCCCACCTTTAGCTTTGGCCGTTGCGACTCGGGATGCCCAATCTTCCATCTCATCCCGGAAGTCATCCCAAACACAGTGTACACAGCCACTCATGCAGCAGTTGTCCGGTTCCTCGGGCTGTGGAGGAATGGGGACTCCGTTTATAGTTTTCCACGTTGACGCCGGAGGAGCTTCACCAGGATTATAGCGCGAGGATCGGCCTGGACCGGCGAGACGAGTGCCAAATACGATCGCCATCTTTTCTTGGGGCGATTGCGGTGTGACGGTAGATGCCGGCGTCGGTTTGGCCTCGGGCCGAGCGGGCGTCGGGCGCGATGTCGATGCACCACCACCGTATGGTGAGTTCGATTTCAATATCAATGAATAGTATCCCGACAGAGGGTGGGCCTGAGGAGTGCCCGCAATTTCCTCCAGGGAAGCAGGGGTATTATCGGCATCGGGTTGGTCGGATTGGCCATGTCCGTTCATGCGCCGGGGGGTCGGAACTAGCACATATTGTCGATATGAAGCATATAGAGGAAATGTTTTGCCAGGGAAAAAACGGAGTTGAGATACAGACCTCCGCAATGAGTGTCTTGTACCAGCTGAGAGACACTCCATGGTAGGGATTGGAAAAAGACTGGATGTTCGTGCATTAACGAGGGGAGATTAAGTCATAGTGCAAACACTGCAAACAGCACGATTGTTTATCTTCCCGAGGTCATCATCTGCGCGCCGGGCAAGACGAACACCCCACGCGAGAATGGATTCCCCAGCAAAAAAACGGAAAACAAGCGAGACCACAGGCATTTCTGTGGCGCCAAAGCCTCCTCAAAATGACACCCATCGGTCGAGACGGCCCTCCTTCCAGTCTCCAACAAAGGCCAGTCTTGCACGATCACACCCCGATCTATTAGAGCGCGCAATCAGCAGATCTCCTACCCGACGACCAGCAAGCAAAGACATCGCACAACAAGACCCTCGAAAATTTGGATTACGCGATCGCAAAGCGCTCCGACCCTCGCTCAATGCCTCCGCAAGTCCCCTCATTCGACCTCGAGGCTCTGAAGCACCTGAAAGTTCCCCCAACCGGCGCTCAAGTGGTGTTCAAGCGTTCTCGAAACCCCCGCGCAGGATTTCAAGAAGGATTCTCCCAGGAGATTTTGTGTTTGGGTCCCCAATGCCACGGCCAGAGAATCCCGAATCAAATACCCCCGAGCGTCAATTGGCATTGGAATTGGGCAGCGCCACAAAAGAAGCAGATATCGATATGGGTCCGGACTCTAGTCTCATGGATGAAGATATCCTCGAACCCGATCTTCCCCCACGCCAACACAATTAGGTCTGGAAAAGGCTCCGGATCGACCCAGAGGGCTGTTGAGTAGCAGTCCTAGTAGACGACAGGAGAAACGAGCAAAGCGACGAACTGCCAATGCATTGCATGAAAGCCCACTTAAGGCAGTAAACTTCCAATCGCCCCCACCGGAGGGTTTGGATACAGCTTCAGACCTAGGTGGAGTTTCCGCGGCTGTTCGCGAGAAACGCAATTCGCGCGAGAAGAGCGCTGCGGATTTGCGACGGCTGAGAAAGGAAGTTGAAGAACTGGAAGCATGGGCAAAGAAAATAGAGTCCGATCCCGACTTGAAAAGTGATACCAGAGGGCTCGACCAATTTCTGTGAGTTCCAGAAGTAACTTCGGCTTGAAAACTACTAATAGTCTCTAGGTCTTTGCTCACATCGGAAGAGGCAAATCTTACAAGTCTCCCAGTGCCCAAAACAGCTCCAAAATCAATATCATCCCTCCTCGCCACTTTACTCCCATTCTCCGCCAATATCCCTCGCCCAAAACGTGAATTATCACCGCTACCAACAAATCCATTTGCCCTACAAGAAGCCTCCCAATCACTGCCATACCTGACAGCCTTCGCACCCTTAACCCTCAAGACCCGCACAACTCGGTCGTTACGTAGGGGAGAGCTGTTAGAAACACACACATTGGCCTTTTCTCCCCCATCTCCATTCCCGGCCAGTCTATATAACGTGACTGTTGTCTACGAGACAAACCCGGAGACCCAGTCTTTGACTTCCGTGTCAGTGCCTACTGGCAGCGACAGCAAAAAAGAAAAGCCCCCGAAACTCTGCGCCGATGGATTGATACCCGTTTAGAGAACCCTCTCTTGAAACTCGACGTGGCAACTCTATGCTGGGGTATCAACCGGTACTGGGAATCTGCAATCACTCGTGCTCGTTTGTGGGCACACATTGACCACAAGTATGGCCCTCGGGCCTTGCAGAGCAGAAAGGATACTGCCCCGGAAAGCAAGAACGGTGTTATCTCACTATCTGAACTGCGACGATTGGTCCCGCATTTGGATCGGAGTGCCATGGTCATCACGCCAAAATCATCTGATTCCAGTCCCCGAGTACTCTTGTCTAATAATTTGGTGTTGGACGAGTGGACCGGAGAGCCTCAACTGCGGCCTGAGATTAGCGTGTCGATCCCTGGGGTAGATAAGAAAATCGACCAGGAGACGAAGAAGCTTTTCCATGCGTTGTTACGTGAGGATGGCGCTTTGGTTACGCGAGGTGTGGAGGGTGGTATTCATGTTGATGCGGTGGTAAGGGCGACTGAAGGTGCTCTTGGTGCTTTGTTCGGTGGTCTTTGAAATTTTGTTCTTCTAGTGTGATTGTCAGCGTTAGGCGTTGGGGATGGTTATTTAGCGTAGTTCTCTGAAGATACCCGAGCAGAGAGAGCTCAGACAGCAAGTTTTAATGTGTTCCTCTTTTAAGTGTGACTTGTGAAATAACAACTTTTCTGTCTTCATAAACGAACTAAAAGATAGATATGTAGTCACTGTCACTGTATTCCGGTATGATAATAGAGAAGATACATGCAGTTGCATGCTGTCGTTCCCATCTAGCTGGTCCTCGAGATAAATAAATCCAGCGAACCTACAACATATACAATGAAATGAACTACAACAAGCTTTCAATGTCGTCGTCGCTGGAAGTTCAGGATTCAAGGCCTGGACTCCCAGCCGGACAGCTACAAAAAGCATTGAGAAGTACAGGCATAAAGCCAAGATTGAGAAAATTGGGCGGTTTTGAATTTCAAGAGATCTTCCGAGTTCTTTCTTTTAGAGACAAAAAGGAGTAAAGTTGGGGAGGGAGAGAGGGAATCAAGGAAGAGGCGCAACGCCATGCCACAGTACACTAATCCCCGATTCGAAAACCGACCCGATCATCATCATCAGCACGAGAAGGGAATTAACACATTTATTTCTTGGCAGCGGCCTCGTCATCAGCCTTGGTCTTGGCACGCTTCTCGCGCATACCCTTGTAGCGGGCCTCAGCGCGGGCGTCACGGAGACGACGGTAAGCAGCCTCCTCGCCCTTGGGGAGCGAGTCGCGCTTGACCTCGGTAACGGCCTCAGCAGCGGTGGGGTTGGTGATGGGGAAGGTGGCCTCAACACGGGTGGCGATGCCGTCACGCTTGCCCTCAGCGACGGTGGCCTTGACGGCCTTGACTTCCTCAGCGGAGGAGTCGAGCTTCTTGAACTGACCGCTCTTGCGGGGGAAGAGGATCAGGCGAGCCTTGTAGTCCTGGAGACGGGCGACGTTGGCAACCAGAGACTCCTTGGAGTAGTTGGTGCGGCGGTGGTCAACGGAGATACCGACGGTAGGAGCAAGCTTCTTGGGGATACCAGCTTCCTATAAAGCGCGAAAAAAGATTCCGAGTCAGTAATTTGATTTCTCCATATTGCCTCCATTTTCGATGCGGCTCAATTTACCTTCAACTCAGCGATGGTGAAACCACGACCGGCACGAACGCGGCGGTTGTACTTGATGGTGGGGCATCGGACAACGGGACGCAGCTTGTCGACCGGACGGGGAGCAACGGCAGCCGCCTTAGCGATGCGGGCCTCACGACGACGGTGCTTCCGGCCGGGCTGTGCGATTCATGTTAGTCGGCCAAATTCATATCCTGCAAAGAAAATTTTTCCTCGATTCCAAGTCGCTTGCGATATCGTTCGGAATAAAAAAAATTCTCTGGTCGGGGGAATGTTGGATAGTCGTACCTGGTCGAAGTGCACACGGACACGACGCTGCCAGTCCTTGTGGAAGTCTGTTCAAGAATTCGTTAATCACTGTTCCTGCGAGTCCGATCTCCCCATGTCTTCTGTCGGTTTGAAGCGATCACATAGAGGTGCAAAGCGCCGGGTCACTCACGGTTCTTCTGAATCTGGTTGTTGTGCTTGATCGCCTATATATCCCACACACAATCGGTTAGTCAACCATTTCGTTCTTTTCGAGGCGTATTTCGAGGTGTCGATTTCTCTCAATCGCACAAGTCGAATCCTTCATTGTATCTTCCAAGCAGGGATAGGTAACGCACCATGGTGACGGATGGGGATCGAGCCGGGTGGTGGTCGTCGAGGGTTGCTGGTCAAATCCTCCTTCACGGCAGAAAATGAAGTTCCCATTTTTCGTGTGGCCGCCCGCTGACTGACACACCGCCTCGCTTAGCGAGCCCTAACCAAACCGGATTCGGTAATCTGCCAGAGTTATTTTATTATTTTATTATTCTTTGGATTTTATGCTTTGGCTATGCTTTTGCTATGATATCAACCTTGGAATCATACAATTGTTCAATGTTCAATGCGAGCGTGCTTGAAATTTTTTTTCATTTTTTTTTTGGATGGATTCCATTGGTCCTATAGATTTCATATATTGCTTTCAATGTTGCAATTCGTTATTGGTCTTTGATCGACTCTATACCTATTGTACATGTTTGTACCATTCCAAATTCATATCCCAAATTCCCATCGAGAAGCCAATTTAATAACGCCACATGTGAAGGGCCATGGATCACTGTCGCATGGCCTCTTGATACCAAAAAAAAAAAACCTTTAAAAAAAATTCAAAAAAACAGTCGCTAGTTTGAAAACACCACATTTGGCATGTCTTCATCATTCGTGAGGGTCCCATAATCGTAACAAGCAAAGCAGCGCTAGGTCATGAATCGTATCAAAGTTGGTGGAACGAGCTTTTCGGTTAACCGGCATATGCACTCAGGCATTGATGCCCAGGCCAATACCATTCGTAGCCCTGGACTTCTTCGCGGGGGCAACGTTTGCGTCAGTGCCTGCCTTGCGCTTGCCAGGGTGAGATCGCTCCACGCCGGGTTTCTGTACGTGGCCGAACAACTTTGTCTGAAGTAGTGTGCTGCTCTTGGGGACAGTGGAGCGCATGTGCTGCGGGGAACCCATAGCCTCTTCCGCGGCCTCGGAGGCAGAGAGGGATACGGTGCTATCACTATCATAGTGATCATCTCTTGGGTGCCCAATTGGGGTGAGGTACTGGCTCTTCGAGTGGTTGGGGGTGACGGGGACGGAGGTTGCAGAGTGAGTACCATAAGCGTGCGTCTGGTTGGTGAGCTTATCGGCGTAGAGAAGAGCGGCGAGACCATCTGCATGTTCGCCGTGGCAGAGATTGTGTATCTCATTCTGGGTACCCGGCGACATGCTGCCGTAGTTGAAAATCTGGGAGAAGTGTTTGCGGTTGTCGCCAATGCGGCGCTTCAGCATGAGGTTCTGCTCCTCAAGGTCCATAGACCGACTGGTAGCTTCGTCGATGGCACGCTTTGCCTTTCGGAGCCTTCGGTCTAGAACGGTATTGAGTTCTTCTAATTCTTGCGAGCGCTGAACAGCCGAGAGATAATCGGAATTCAAGGCAGACTGGGATTGCTTGGGCGTGACGGGATCCACAGGGTGCGAACGACTGCGGTACTCGGCGCTCTGAAGAATCTCAACTTCGCGCTTAGCAAGCTGGTGCTCCACCTCGGCGCGCTTCACGGCTTCATTGCTTGCGAAAGACACCAAGCTGTTCTGTAGTTTGAAGTGCAGGGCAGACATGCGCGAGTCTCGGGCTACAGCTAAAAGTTCCTTGGCAATGGTGCGCAGTTGGGTTTCACTGGCGTTGTCGATTTCTTCCACGGTGGGCAGGTTCTCAGAGACGCCGTAAGCATCGCACAACGACTTGTCCAGGTCGGTGGGCTTCACCAATGAAGGGCTCAAGGAGCGCGAGTGTGAGCGAGAACGAAGTGGGGCTCCTGGGATCTGAGATGAGGGTGGAGGGGTCATATCTGATGATGACAAGGGCGGAGGTGAGAGGAACTTCTTATCCGACTCGGACGATGGGCGCTTAGCCATAGCGCTGAGCTCTGGCGATGGGGACAAAGTGGCCCGACGGACTGGAGTCGAGGGCACAATCTCTGCGGGTGCTCCCAGGGAGCTTTGTGAGTTGGTGTTTTGAGACATGATAGTGATGTTGATATAATAATATATCACTATGATAAGATCACGGGGATTTTAGCCGTGGGGAAACGGGTCCTCACACTAGTTTCTTATCAGCACCTTTATCGTAGAACAGATGATTGAAGAACAAAGGAATTATGTACATACCGGAGACTGAGATCAGTCAGGCTTTGGGCTTGGTCGATCGCACAGATGCTCAGACCAGGTATGTTGCCTCAGGAACCAAAAAGAGAGAAGATGGAAGGACTAGGGGCGGAGTAAGGGGGTAGGAATTTCAATTTCGAGCTAAGAAGACAATGACTTGGAGAAGTTGGAGAAGGATGAAAGAAGGGAGAATAATGGAGTTGAGCGAGACCTTAAGAGGAAGAGGTTACTCCAGCTTGCGTTATTGGGAGGGGCTGGGAGGCTGGGAACGGGAGAGTCTCAAGGTACCCGTTTTGGGTTAGTCCATGTCCCAGCCCCGGTCAATTATCTAAGAATATAAACCAATCAGAGGCCAGAACAAGGTCCCATTAAACCTATCTAGGTTAGTCTGGCGATCACGGGACGCTCAGGGCAAGTAAACACCCGGGACCGGGCAAGCGCTGGGGGTTGGGCAGGCAACCGATAAGCATCAAGATCTGTATGTTGTATACATCTATGTACGATGTATGATATCATGGAGGTGTTTTGATCTTGATGTTTTGATCTTGGTACGTTATCTATTTAAATCTATAAAATCCTCTGCGATCTAGAAATAAAGAAAATTATGCTTTAAACCTATGGGATTTGACTGGAACTGCCCCCTTGTAGTACAGAACAATTGAATTACCTACATTATGTAGAAGCAAACACTATATATCCATGTAGCATTTCAAAGCAATTAGGCTGGGCTTCTAGGAAGCTAATGCGCAAGGGCACTGTTTACCACCTGAACCAGCTGGTACCAGCCCTCTTCAGCGGCGAAAGCAAGGATCAGACAAGTCTTTGGCTGTTTCTACTAATATGTTTCTGTTTAAATATAACAGATTTCTTCAAAATGCCTTTTACCAACTAGACACTGAGTATCAGAAGAATGTTAGGCCCAAGATGAAACTGTTGACTCCTAGTACTATTTTCTGTAGACTCCCGTCTTAGTATACCGGCACATGCTCGTAGCCTATATGCTAAATAGGGGATGTGATGAAACACGTCTTTTTTTTTAACTCATGGCAATTAATTGGCTTAAGCACTATCCGAAAGAGAGCTTTGAGGTCGCTGTTATTTAGTTGCGCTGGATATCTGCCTGCAATGTGTCATTGCTCTTTTGATGTATATATCCGACGGAATAGGCCAACTATGGGTCAAACAAATCATTGAATTGCAACGGATCAATGGGCTATCATATCCAAGGAATATTCTAAGACGGACATACATGATATTTATAGCAATATATAACATAGGATAATAGAATATTTGTTTTATATCTGCTCTTTACACAATATTTTATAGATTGGGACTAAATTAGTTGATGCCTCAGGCGGCGATCGCGGGATTGTGAGACCTTAGAAATGTAAACAATCCGCTTCGTCCGAAACATTTCTAGACCTCTAGCTCTTCATTCTTTTGCGCCAAAGACCACGATTTTGACAGGGCTAAAGCTGCCACTGCGAATTTTCCCCGCCCTCCACATTCTTTGTCCCGCTCCTTATCATCGGATATGAGCATCCGAATTTCTTGACGTGCGACTTCCTCCTTGACCGAAGACCAACATCAATAACTGGAACACCAATATGGAAGGACAGCCTAAAACATCGACACGCCCTGCAAGTGGTATACCACGTCCTGCAAGCGGCATTCCACGACTTACTTCAAGATTGCCTTTACCCACGACCACCGCATCAAAATCGATCAAACCCTCACCTTCCCGAGACAGACTACGAGCCGATCCTGGTTTGGACGAAAAGAGATTGCGAAGACCATCTTACAATACGCTCGTGAAAAAGCCATCTGCGCACCATTTGTCACCACCTAAGCCGCAGGATGATCCTACTCCGGCCCGCAAGCAAGACGATGCCCAAGGCGGGGAAGATGACACACATGTTCCAGAGGAGGCGGGCTCGATTGCTGGGGATGATGACACTGCATCAATTACATCGGCCCAGGAAGCACGCGGTCGCCGTGGAATACGCCCATCTTTGTCCGAACGTACACTTGAGACGCTAGCGCAAATTCCACCATCGCCGGCTTCGGTGAGAAGGCAGTCCAGCTTTTTCAATGGCGGCAGCCCGGTACGGTCGCCATCTCGCGCTCCGTCCAATGTCTCCAGCGTTTCCAGACCACCATCGAGGGGATCATCTTGCGCACCGCCTAGCAACGAGCTACATACACAGCCTGTTTCGAAGCTGCGTCTTCCCTCGAAGGGTCGTATATCGACTGCGGAATCTCTTTCTCCAGTCCGCGTCTCGGAGGAGAGCGTGAGCCCATCAAGATTGAAGCGGCCGTCACTTAGACAAAGTAATGCACCAGGAGATGGTGCCCCTACGGACATCAGCTCGCCGCTCAAGAAAATTATACCCGAAAGATCAATTGGCAACAAGGATACACAAAAAGCCGCCCTTATCCGCCCATCACCCGGAAAGGTCTCCACAAAGCCTGACAAGTCAAACATGGGTCCCCCAGAAAGACCCCTTCAAGTTAAGAAAACAAGAAAAGCCCAAGCAGGGCAGCCGTCGACCCTACGCTCTCCCTCGACAGGTTCAAGATATGTATCTGCTTCTTCCAACATGCCAGATGACCTGTCTCCGGAGCAGCAGGCAGAACTTGAAGCTAGAAAAGTCTCCAAGTCGTCCAGTACGCTACGTGAAACTATAGCAAAGGCAAAGGCTGCGCGCAAGGCGATAGCGGCTGAAGATAAAAAGGAGGGCCCCCAAAAGCAGGTTTACCAGGCTCCGCCCATTGATGCGCCTCTCGATTCGTGGGCAGGAGGTGATGACGATGATCCCTTCGGCCAAATGCCCGTGGGATCCAACTCTTTGGTGATGCGGAAGCGTGTACAGACAGCACGCGCGACCGGCCAATTGAATATCGCGGCGTTTTCTTTAAAGGAAATTCCAAAAGAAGTGCTGGCGATGTACGACTATGACCCAGAAAACTCCGCTAACTGGTTCGAAAATGTTGATCTTGTCAAATTTAATGCCGCGGACAATGAGCTGGAACAGATCTCAGATGCCACCTTCCCCGATATCAACCCCGAGGAATTCGACCCTGATAGTGACGACCGAGGACTTCAATTCGGTGGCCTTGAAACCTTGGATCTCCACGGGAATATACTTAAGTCACTCCCAATGGGTCTTCGACGTCTGGAAAATTTACGCACGCTCAATCTGTCAAATAATTCTTTGGAGATGGCCAATATCGAGATAATCGCAGAGATAAAGTCTCTGACCGATCTGAAACTTGCGAACAATCAACTGCAAGGGGAACTAACTGCCGTCATTGGTCGTCTTCCTAACTTGGAGTTTTTGGATCTGCGTGGTAATGCTCTCACCAAGCTTCCAGATGAGCTCGTTGGATTGAGTTCTCTGAGAACATTAGATGTTAGTGAGAACAAGTTCACTTCTTTGCCGTTCGAGATCCTTTGCAAACTTCCCCTGAAAACGATCAATGCGCAGAAGAACAGGCTGGAAGGCACTTTGATACCGGAATCAGTGCTCAAGCTGGAGACATTGCAGTCCCTGAACATTGCCAACAATGCTGTGGTGGTCTTCTCCGCAAATGACGCGCTTGAACTTCCTGATTTACATACTCTCCTGATCGGTGTCAATCGCATCACGCATCTCCCGTGCGTGACCTCTTGGCAGTCATTATTAACGCTGTCTGCCGAGGAAAACAAAATTGCAGAGCTTCCACAAGGGTTTGTGGATCTCAAGAGCTTAAAGAAGGCCGATTTTACAGGAAATTCTCTCACGGTCTTGGATGAGAAGATTGGTTTAATGGAAAATCTTGCGTCTTTGCGGGTTTCCAATAATCCGCTTCGTGAGCGCAAATTGCTGAGAATGGACACCGACGATATCAAACAAGACTTGCGGAGCCGCTGTGAGCCTGATCCTCAGGACACAGATGACGAGGGCTCAGTGGCCACCCAATTCACTCTAGCGCCCGAGAGTCCCACACTCGATGGCAGCTGGCAGATTAAATCCGGTGGGATTCTTGATAAGTCTTATGCCGAAATGACCGACCTTAAGGTGGAACAGCTGGAGATGGTTCCATCGTTAGATATTCGATGTCTTTATTTGCAGCACAATGAGTTGAGCTGTTTCCCGGCCCCCGCCATTGGATTGCTCGCGCAGTGTCTGGTTGAGCTTGATCTTTCACACAACCCCTTGAATGGCGCTGACTACTTATCTTCCCCGCTTGAGTTACCAAAGCTTCAGTCGCTGACTTTGAATGCGGGCGGCTTGACGTCCTGGGAGCCTCTCTTGTCCAACCTGATAGCCCCATCTTTGACCTTCTTGGATGTATCGCACAATCGTTTGAAGGGACCACTTCCCCATCTGAGACAGACTTACCCAGAGCTCAAGACCCTTGTGGCCTCTGACAACCAGATCGCTAGTTTGGACTTCGAAGCCGTACAAGGGTTGCAGGTCTTGGAGCTAAGCAATAATGACATTGATTCGCTTCCCCCGAAGATTGGACTGTTAGCCGCAGGACGCTCTTCTCAGAATTGGGGCAATGGGTCCGCCTTGAGACGGTTTGAGGTGGCCGGCAATCGATTCCGAGTACCTCGCTGGCAAGTAGTTGCCAAAGGGACTGATGCCATCTTGGAATTCTTGCGAGAGCGTATTCCCATTGGTGACCTGCCGGACTGGGAGCGGGAATACGAAGCTCCCGAAGAAGAGTTCTAAGACATGAGATCTGGTTGGAGATCATGATTTAAAAAGGCTTGTATAATATCACCATGTTTGTTCTATGTACATATACATAATATCGCTGTCTATGCTTTTCCCGGGCTTTTGTCATCTTATCGTCAGCTTCTTTGCAGCTTCGTGACAGATAATTACATTCAGTTTTTTTCAATTGACTTGCTGACCTCGTCAACCACCTTGAGCCACGTCTTCGACCATATAGCGAACTTGTCTGCCGGTGCATCTTCCTTAACATCCGCAGCACCCCAAGGTGATGCGACCAACTCCACCGCTTGTGTGGCACATTTCCTCGTCTTCCGCAGATACTCAGCAGAGGTTTCAAAATTGGCCTCGTACAACGCGCCAGCTGCCTCATCGAGATCATCCGGGATAGCTTGCAGATTCAGCATCAAGGACTCCAGCTTTTTGACACCAGATGGGGAAGCCAACGGCGCATTTCCGGCATTCTTCAGCCGGTTGTTGATGATAGCTGGGTAGGCCTGAGCAATAGGCTTGAGGAAACGAAGGGTAGATTTCTTGTGTTCCTCGAGAGCAGCCGTCTCCTCTTCATCATTCTCGTCATCATCCTCGTCCCCATCATCTCCACCCTTCCCCTCATCACCGAGAATATCATCAAAGAAACCATCGTCCCCTTCTTCCGGATCCCAATCCTCGATTTCCTCAACCGCATCGCGAACCAGATCCCTCCACTGTTCAACGCGGCGCATGACAAACCCGACAACACCCTTATTCGCAACGTCGGTCGTAGCATCACACGCATCCCAGACACGGCCCGTAGCGAGCATCACAGAATCCTTTTCGGATTTCGTCACGCCGCTCTCCTTCCCTGTATCCTTCTTCTCCTGATCTTTCTTTTCTCCAACAACCTTGACCTCCTGAACCAGCGCCGAAAGCTCCGTCAAAGCCGTCTTAACCAGAATCAAAACTTCGGAATGAAACGCTTTGGTGTATTGCGCTGGTGTAACGAGAAGGGAAGCGGTCACGAGCGACGGCAGTATGGATTCATTGAGCTCGCGCAGCACGGTGCCGACGGCGGAGTGCGTAAAGGGCGAGGTAATGGCCAGCAGGGATAGTTTCGTGACATGTCCTTTGAGCGCGCTCGCGGAGGCCGTTAGGAGGGGTAGAGCTTCGGCATCTTTTGCGGCATCGGTTGCGGCTGTTGGGGGAGTGGTGAGGGCTATTTGGAATTGGCCGATCAAGGTTAGGGTTGAGTTGATGACGGGAGATAGTTGTTTGGACATTGTGAGAGTCGTGGGCTGGCCGGGGTTGGGTTGGAGGGGAGTGTAGTAGAGGAAAAATTTGGGCGGTTGGGTCTGATAATTATCGCGGGGCTGATTAGGGCTCTGCGGGGTCACCTGGAATTCCTATGTTAAAGCTGTAAGCTTGAGGATGTTTAATTGGTCTGCTTTTGCAGATGATCATATTGATTTTGGTTCTCTAATTTTAATTCTCCTCTCAGTTTAAAGATGATAATTGTTTATTACTAGCAGATACCAATGCCCTTATAGCAGATCCCTCGTTTACCTTTAATACGTCGCGAAGAGCTCTCAACATGCCAAACTCTATCTAATATGTAGCCATGCATGGCTTATTATTTGATCAAATACCTAGATACGCCAACGTAGTAAAGCTGCTCTGTTCATTCATGTCCAGTAAAACCAAGGGGGTTCCTGGGCGACCTAAGTAAGCGACCTCGATAGTCAGTGACCATCGTGCCTCCTATTTTATATACCATTGCGGTGTTGATCTAATCGTAATCCTTTGACAATGTAGATAGCGTTCCTCTTATTTAGTTAATAAGATGTACCTACCCACATTTAGGGGCCTTGTTTCCGATCTGGGCTATAAAGGCCCACTGTACCCTTTGCCCTACAATATACATCGAAGTATATACTAAGACTCGCTAGTAGACAAGTAAAGAATGACACCCCGTGACATTAACCGAAATTTTAATTTATGTATAGTACAAAGGATAATTCCCCTCAGTGCGTAGTCTGCGTAAACTCTTTGTCGACTCTAATCTTAGTTAGGGGAATCTCATCCCCATCAGAATGATCACCAACCCTCGAACCCAACACATTGGTGTACGTCTGCGCATTATCATAATCCGGCCTGAACGAGGTATCCCTTTGTGCCTGTTCTCCTACTGTGTTAGGATCATCTGGTAGGTGATAGAAAGAATGTCGTTTCGAATGCTTGTTGTGCTGAACGATGGCGGAAGTGGACTCCCCTGCTCCTGAAGGCTGAGTGACAGCATCCGAGTTTTTGGTAGTTGTTCCGTTTGTACTTCTGAAGAGAGCCATAACTCTACCATGGATACCCAGCATGCGCGCTATGAAACGAAGAGCAGGGCGGATAGTGGGAAGATTGGCCGAAACGATGCCGGCGGACATTTCGATCGCGGTCCAGCCAACCGTTGGGGCGAGAGTGTAAGAGGAATCAAGTGCAGTGTAGCTGAAGAGGACCGAGAAACGGTAGGCGGAGGCGAAGACAACGCTGTTCAAGTTAGATTGACCGGGGTCTTTTTTGGTTTTTTTTTTTTTTTTTGGAAATGTTAGCGGCTTACAAGAATCCCAAGCTGAAGGCAATTAAAACGGCTATCTTTTCTGAAGTTCGAAGTTGGAGCTTCCATATTTGTGGGATCGGAAGGAGGAGAATAGCAACATCGGTTGCGATCGTCGAGACGGCGTTGGCGACCCATGTGGCAACCTGGTCGATGCATCGTCCTGGGATTTGGGGATACCATAGTTTTTGGACGGGGACGCAAATGAAGATGAAGAGAAAGGTTATACAGATAACCCAAAGGATAATAAAGATTCCAATGATGTACGCCCATGTCTTGAAGAAAGGAAAGCGGAAGATCCGGTAGTACATGAGCAGAATGCTCAGTTTGGTCCATACCAGGTTGAAGACGTAGAGAACTTCGGCCGCGACAAGATACTTTGCGATCATGATCACATTTTCTGTCGGAATAGTGCTTGCATGGAGTCCCATTCCCTTATGAATCATGGCGAAGATGAATCCGACAACGATGAAGTTCCATAACTTATGTTTGATTAGAAACCATGCGATTGGGATTCAATGGAGGGAACGAATCGAACTAACCATAGAAAAGATAACCATATAATCATCCCACCACAGCTTTTGCATCCGCTCATAACGGGCGAGTAGTCGAAGACAAACCGACACGAAGGCCAGCACTGTGACTGAGGCCGTGGTAGCTATAGACCATTGCTGCAGACTGTCCTGATTGCTCTCCATGAAGTTTGGCTTAGGGAGGTAAACACAAAACTCGGCAAATGCTGGGGAATAAAATCTTATGTATGGAGTACGGAATACACGGCTGAGTTTCTGCACGGAAAGGTCCCATTGTGTGTCGAATGCTCCATACTCCGTACTCCGTACACGACTCGTACAATTCTAAGAATCCCACTATTGGGCATCTGATTGAAAATGACAAGCTTGGCGTTTGGGGTCTGAACTTAGTTTGGTAGTTAGCCAATGCCGGGTTAAGCATTTGCTCTCTACACTGAAATCACTAATGCATATTATGTATCACTAATATGTATCATTTAGTTTGGACCAAATACTATGTATCATTAATATCCATAATATCCATGTCTAGGTGGATGTATCATTATGCACGGAGTAAGGTAAACTTTTAAGGAACCGTTGAGTACCGAACAAATGGCCTGCAGATCCGTATAACATAAAGTAATCCACGTGGATACAGGGGTTGGGAATATTCGTTTTAGGAAGGTTCTCGAGAAAAAAAAACCAACGGCCCACTTTATACTAGTGGTGCACTAGTAAACGAGGGAAAAGCATGATACACATGTAGTTAACGAGAGCGAAAACCTAAAAAAAGAACATAAATAACATGGAATATTAGAGCTATTGATTGGCTCCTTTAGTGGCATTTGTTAGTGAGCATTCGAGCATATCCTCGCAATTCTATACAATAGCGATATACTACTAGTTATACTTGGTGACCATCTCCAGAAGGGCCTCATTCACCTCCTTTGGGTTGGTAGCATTCAGGTAATGCGCACCCCCGTCAATCATCACAAGTTTAGCCTCCACAGACGAGGTAAAACGTTTAATATGTTCCGCAGGAACGATCGTCCCAAAAGGAGTGTCTTCAGTTCCCTGATCGATTTGTTAATGCACGAGCCATGTACATCGGTAAACATAAAACTTACCTGTAGCCAATACACAGGGCATTTGATATCCCCGATCCGAAGTAGGAGCCCATCCCTCTCCAGTAGGCAATTAAGTGCCATCCGAACCTTTTTCCGGCCCTCATCGCCCTTATACACTTCCTTCAGGGTCTGAGTCCAGAATGCGGATCTCGTTTCGGTGGCAGCGGCACCAAAGCCAATCCCCCCCCACCAGTCCGCACCAGACGTCATCCACAACAAATTCGGGCGTAGCCGAGGGGCTGGTCCACTTCTCATAAAACACCGTGAGATTGGCAGCAGGGTCCCAGCAGCCCTTGGACCGAGAATCCAAGGATTCGTAATCCATCGAGGTTCCGAGGGGCATAAGACCGAGGATCTAGCCATATGTTAGTACTATTAGTTTGGCTCTAGGGCTTGGCTTGGGGCTTAATCAGCAGTCCATTGACTGCCGAGGTCCTCCCCGGGCTTGAACCTACCCTGTTTGGGGCTAGGAGAGCCATCCTAGTCACAATCCACCCCCCCTGACTTGTCCCTAGGACGAAGGCCTTCTGAATGCCAAAGTGGTCCATGACCTGTAAAGCCATATGAGCAGAATCCCAGTACGTAAAATGTTCCGAGGGAGAACTGGTTGAGCCATGGCCTAATGGCTCGATGGCCAGAAGATTCATGGCATCAGTCAAGGCCTCATCGTTGAATTGGTCATGGTAGAGAGACACAGTCATGCACATCGAATTAATGAGTACGCATGTCGGCTTGGAAGGGTCGTAATGGTCCTTAGAGAAGGCGTATCCGGCCTTGATGCCGCCAAGGTGTGGAACTTCGATAGTCTGAAGCGCAGCCATTTCGTAATAGTCAGTGGATTTCGAGTTGAATGTGTGATTCATCTACAATCTGCCTTGGAGGGGAAAGAAGTCAATACGCTACCTACGGGGAGTTAGCCGAGTTAGCCCCTCCATATTTTCCTTCATGTTTGCAAAATATTCTCTGTATGGAGCATGTAAATCCCGGGAGTTGTGCACGCTCGGTGCTTCGTCCTAAATTAGCTATTGATCTCCGGATTGACCCTGTGGAGTCACTTGGACAGACCGGTTTGTCGGGATTTGATTCACCTCTGCACAATTAACGGCAGCTCCAAGGCCCGTTGTATTCCGTAACAAACCTTCGAAGCTGCCGGGTGGTGGGGCCGGACGCTTTATGAGATATTACTGGTACATCCGCCTTCCGTGTTGAGGTATCTGTGACAATCGCCACATTTAGTCCATCTCCGTAGGGGTTTTCAACATACTCCGTATACTTGTCCATGCGTATGGAGTGCAGAAACTGAATAACATTGTGCAACGGTCCGGAAATACGTTTGACCGATCCATTTTAGCGCTGATCGTACGGCGTACGTTGTACATGGCATGATGGTATGGAGTGCATACTTGATAGTTGATAGATAGTAAGTTAGATAGTAAGTTGATAGATAGATCTCACCTCCTAGCTTCGAGACCGCGGTGTACCTATGTAATACATATAGATAGGAAGTTTATCTGATAGAGACCCGCTTAACCCTTACTTGCCGTGGGGTGGACAATCGTCAAAATGTTTCTTGCCCTGTAGACCTTGGCGGAGTTGTAGCCTGCCGAAGGGAATTGCTACAGACACGGCACGTTTTGCTAGTAGCACGGCACATTAGGTAATATTCCCTTTACATAATCAATTTTGACCGAGATCGTTACCATACATTACCACAGCAACTACATTACTTACTACTGTAGCAACTACATTCTATCTACTACTGCTTCATTACTATAAGAACCCGACCATGAATCAATTCTCTCTAGTCAATCTTATTGTGCTTTTCATCTTATTTACATGCTTTTCACACTCTGCAGGAGCGGATTGTATGGCCAATTTCTCCACAATTTGAGCACTTCGAGGGTGCTTTCTTCTTAGTGACCTTTTGGTTTGATGTTTTGATGTTTTGATCTGATATGTTCTCTTGAGCTGATCTGCGAGTTGGTGGTGGTAATAGAGGATCTAGTATTGGCAGATACATAGATGACTCATTACTAAGGCCAATCCTCCAAAATTGATGGATATCGCTTAGTGGGATTGGTTGATGTTTTGTTAATAAACTAGCGATTCGGTGGGCACACGGAAGGCCCATTGTCCTAGTGAATATATTAGTGCAGTTTGATAAAGGTGCTTCGGGGGTAGCTCTCTTAGCTATAGCAGCTTGATTAGAGATTAAAGATATTGAATATCGTGATGTTCTCTTTATAATATTCGAATAGAGAAAGTGGGAGCAGAAATTTAGTCTCTTAATCTTATCTTCTGTAAGATCAGATTCAAGTCGCTGATACTGAGCCTGTAAAGCATTATTAATTCTCTCAAAAACATGAAGCATATCACCTGAAGATCCCCCTATATACTTTTTTAAAAAAGCGTGAGACCCCTCCACTCTTGATGTAGCCCAGTTACCAAGATGAAGATATTGCCCTACCCAAGCCCTAATAAACATCTCTTTATAGGTTAGCCAAGTACTTTGAATATATCTAAGAGCATTAGGGGCAATTTGATTAAACTGCGTTGTGAACTTAGCTAATTGAGCATTATATTCATCAATATTTGATGAATTAATTAGCTCTTTCTATGACTTGATAAAAGCCTCAAATTCCTCATTTGAAGAGAAATATTGCTTTGTCTTTGCCAGCACATTCTTATTAATATGCCAAATGCATAGTAGATGTGGGCTTCTAGGACAGATAGATTTAATTGTACCTAATAAAGCAAGATCTCTGTCAGTGCAAAGAACTGGAGAAAAGGGTAAGGGGTCAAGCTATGAAAAAAAAAGTCTGTAAAGTCCACTTATAGCTTTCTTCCTGCTCATTTTGCATAAAGCAGAAAGCAATACTATAGGATGAATTCGATGGCGAGAGACTAATAATATGTAAAAGAGGCATCTTATACCGATTCGTCTTGTAAGTACAGTCTAATAAAAAGACCCTATTATATTGATTAGCATACTTAATTGATTCAGGGTGAGCGAACATAAAAAATTGAATATGACCTTCTATATCTTGTTTAAATGCATATTTCCATTGATTCTGAATTAATATCTGTTGAAGAAGTTTAAGAGGTAAGTGATTCCTAAGCTTTTTCTGTCTTATACTACCTCTTATATTATAAATATCTTTTGGTCTTATTAAGATATCAGGTTGATCCTTTCTTAATAGACTTATAATATGCTGCGGTCGAGATCCAATATCTGATAGATGTTTAATAGTTTGATTTTGATCTTTAGTAAGCTGTGGACGCCTTGCCATAGGATGCCCTATCATATTATTAGTAGCTGCATGATTATGATTAGGATTTCTTACCTGGATTTCCCATTGATTAGTATCAACAAGCTTCTTTGCATAAAGGCGGAATGGGCAGTTCATCCGTCTAGTACTTGTCTTCCGGCGTTTTGCCCCTTCTGGGGCATCAATATGATCATGGTATATACCGCCTCTATCACAACCAAGACAAATATTCCTCTCCTTAGCGGAGTTGATGATAGTGATAGCATAACCATGAGATAGGGCATGCTGTCGTATCGAAGTAAGGAGTTGCTCTCTAGTCTCAAAGACTTGCTCAATTGGTGGCTCCATGATTAGGTGAAATCAAGTATCAATTGGATGAAGTAAGATCAATTGGATGAAGTAAGATCAATTGGATGAAGTAAGATCAATGAGAAGATAGAGTGGTTCTTATAGCAGAAGTAGATAGAATGTAGTTGCTACAGTAGTAAGTAATGTAGTTGCTGTGGTAATGTATGGTAACGATCTCGGTCAAAATTGATTATGTAAAGGGAATATTACCTAATGTGCCGTGCTACTAGCAAAACGTGCCGTGTCTGTAGCAATTCCCCCTGCCGAACACTATATTACCTAAGCGAGATTTTTCGATATCAAACAAGACAAACACCTTCATCATTGCATCCCAGCTCGACGAGCTTAAAGCTTTTGTTCATCATTGCCAGCCATAATGGGAACAGCAAAGGCTCGTGCTCCTCCAAGGACGCCCGCAACACCCACACAGCCTGTGGAGACGTCGCGATATCTTCCCGACAAGACTTTTATTATCGACAATGGCGCGTACATGATCAAAGCGGGCTACGCTTCTGATGCCCCGGCCTCTGATGATAGTGTTTCCGCCTGCTCATCGATCCCCAATGCTCTCGTCAAAACCCGCGATAACAAGATCGTTATCGGCGCACAGCTAGCGACCGTCAACGACTGGAATGAGGCTATGTTCCGGCGCCCGGTGGAGAAGGGATATGTTGTGAACTGGGAAGCCGAGAGAGAGATTTGGGACCAGTCTTTCTTTGATGGGAAGCCGACGGCTCGGAATCGGAATCATCACATCGCGGACCCGGAAGACACTACCCTTGTACTTACTGAGGCGCCGAATGCCTTGCCCATTTTACAACGGCACGCTGATGAGATGGTTATGGAGGAATGGGGATTTGGGGGATATGCGAGATGTTTGGGTACGGTAGTCCGATTATTTTGTGCTGCATATGATCCTGTACTGACCGGAAGTCTATAGGTCCAACCCTCAACGCATGGAACGAAATCCATTCTCTCTTCGGCGATCCTCTCTCCAATACATCCGGCGCATCTATCTTACCAGCAGATTGCTTACTAGTCGTCGATTCTGGCTATTCGCACACCACAGTGACTCCGGTTTACAAAGGCCATGCTCTTCAACGCGGAATCCGAAGACTCGATCTTGGAGGCAAACACCTGACAAACTACCTGAAGGAGATTGTGTCAATGAGACAATATAACATGGTGGATGAATCATATATTATGAACGAAGTGAAAGAAGCGGTCTGTTATGTTAGCAGTGACTTTGCTGGTGATTTGGAACAAACGTGGAAAAGTGGTCGAAAGCGCCAGAGTGGCCCCGAGGAGGGAATCGTGTTGGACTATGTGCTTCCAGACCCGAACGCAAACAAGAAGGGCTTCATTCGACCACATGATCCTCTTCTTCACGCCAAAAAGAAGAAAGGAGCGGTCTCCGGGCTCAGCGCAGAGGTGTTATCGGAGGATGTACTGGTGCTGGGTAATGAGCGCTTTGCTGTCCCCGAGCTTCTATTCACCCCCGGAGACATTGGTATGAAGTCAGCCGGTATACCCGATATGATCCTTCAAAGTTTGTCCGTTCTGCCTACGGGCCTGCACTCTGCCTTTTTGGCGAATGTTCTTGTTGTCGGAGGAAATGCTTTGATTTCAGGATTCATGGAAAGACTGTGGGTACTCTAGATTCAATTGGTTGAAGTTTCTACTAACAAACTATCTTTTCACAGAGAAACCGAATTGCGACAGATTGCCTCTGCTGAATGTGTTGTGAGAGTGCGCCGGGCTAAGGAGTGAGTAGTCATTCATATAGTTATCTTGATTCTGAAAGTACTGACATTAGTAGCCCTGTTCACTCAACATGGCTGGGAGGGACTCGCCTTGCTGCAAACAGAGAGGAACTCAGCAAGGTATCCATCACTCGCCAAGAATATCAAGAATATGGGTCAGGATGGGCTGTTCGACGATTTGCCGGCCTTGTATGAGGTCCAAGTCGCTCGAACAGTCTTTGTGGGATTAAGTATGGGAGTTTTTAACAATGGCCGAAATCGACAGCATTTATAGCATTTAGTGATACCCTAGTTTTTAGTGTCAATGGTCAATGTACAAAACTTTTGGAAGGAATATATAAATTCAGTTGAAGGCTAGAACACCGTGGTCCTCGCATTACGATATGATTATTCGCTCTAATGTTGGAATAAGCTGCGTTTTTACCTGTTCGGGAAATCCCCAGATTTATGGATCCACGCCTGTTCCCTGTTCATCTCTATGTTAGGGCTCTTAGCTTGAGCACTCTGAAGACATCTCCATGGTTGATTTGCCAGTCAACAGAATAAAGCAGACTCGCAAGAAGAGTTGGTATTGCCGAAGCCCACTTGATATACTAACTACAAGACAGCAACCCCTAGAATGTAGCCGTCATCCTATAATTAACCATGGGCTGTTCAGGAACAAGAAAGAAAATAGTGTTTGCTCATCCATGGCTAAGTGTCCAATCCATATATGGTCTGAAAGATGGGTTGCGCCCTGCACTTTTACATAAGAGGACGTCTTTCAGGCCCTGACTCTGACAACTGGCTATACACTTTGTCCCTCTTTGAAGGGCCCAGTAATAACCCCAAAAATTGCTACCCAAGCCACGGCAAAATGACCAAGAGTCGCTTGTCCATCCGACTGCTCCTAGACTACTTGGAGCGAGTATTCGTATCCAAGAAAGCGACCCAGGAAGTGGGCCAGTCAGTAAAGCACAAAGCTAACCGAAAACCAATTAACGCAATACGTTAACCCTTCACAGGTGCACAGGGTGCTTCCAAAAGGTCCCAACGAGCAAATTATTAACTGCTCCCTGTGAACACCAATTCTGCCCCTCATGCCTCCGACGATTGTCCTCAACAGCCTTGAACAGCCCGGAGATGTTCCCTGCAAAGTGTTGTTTCCAAGAAATCCCCGCGAAAGAACTCATGGAGGTGATGAGCTCACGAAACAAAAAGCGCTATATCATTCGGTGGGAGGAGAACAGTATCCCTGCTTTAGAGCGCTTGTATTGTCCTCGGGCGAGGTGTGGCCGATGGATCCCCCCAAAGAGCTCGGAGGCACGGTTAGGATATTGTGTTTGTCCTCATTGCCGGGCAAAGGTTTGCTCCAAGTGTGGGGACCTTTTCCATCTCGGCTGGTCGTGTAGCCATGACTCTGAGACGAAGGCGACATTGGAACTGGCAAAGGAGAATAATTGGCAGAGATGCTCCAATTGCCTATATTTGGTGGAGAAGGTCGATGGATGTAACCACATCATTTGTAGGTGTGGGCATCAGTTTTGGTATGTTCATGCGTGCAGGTCCTAGGCGAAACGTTAACGCTAATCGGAAACTAAGTTACCTCTGTGGTCAACGCGGCCGATGTGAATGTCCCCCACGTGGTATCGAAGATGAAGACCTGGATACAGATGGGGATCTTGATATTGATACAGTGGTCGCTGCAATGGAGCAAGCAGAATCGGCAGATGAACCTTGTTGGTGGGAGGGCCAGGCTTAGAGAAGGGATGAGGGCGGGTAATCAATATTTATTTTCAGCAAATTGCGATCTAGATTAATATGATGCAGGAAGGGTATCTTGATCGAAATGCTTTTTTCTCCATCTCGGACACGCACAGCACCTAATAGTCGTAGAAACCCTTGCCGCTCTTCTTGCCGAGCCAACCAGCGTCCACCATACGACGCAGGAGACCAGCAGGTCTGTACTTGCTGTCACCAGTCTCCTGGTGGAGAACGTTCATGATTGCAAGGCAGGTGTCGAGGCCAATGAAATCAGCCAAAACGAGGGGGCCCATGGGCACGTTGGTGCCAGTCTTCATAATGTTGTCAATATCCTCACGGGCACCAACGCCAGTCTCCAGACAAATCACGGCCTCGTTGATGTAAGGCATCAAGATACGGTTGGCAAGGAAGCCAGGTGTATCGGCCGACACGGAGGCCACCTTACCCATTCGCTGGACAAAGGCAATGGCAGTATCCATGGTCTCCTGGGATGTTTGGAGTCCCCGGATAATCTCCACACCCTTCTGGATGGGAACAGGGTTCATGAAATGCGTTGAGATGACCCGGGAGGAAGCCTGGAGGTCGGTAGGATCCGCGCTAGTGGCAGCGGCAATCTTGGTGATGGAGATGGAGGAGGTGTTTGTTGCGAGAATAGCATGCTTCGGGGCGATCTGGGACAAGCTGGCAAATATCTTTGTCTTCAGATCAGGAACCTCAGGCACAGCTTCAATGACGAAGTCGACTGCGGAGAGACCCTCCAGCGTCAAACTCGTAGAAATAAGCCCACGAGCTTCATCAGCTGCCTCTCGAGTAAGGCGCTGCTTTGCTACATCCTTTTCGAGAAGTTTATCTATTATCCAATGCTATGTCAGATAATTCCGGACGATTGCAGAGAACCAAACTGGAGCTCAGCGTACCGGCAAACTTGAGGCCCTTATCCAGAGAGGCCTGCGAGGTATCAACAAGGGTTACTGGGACCTTTGCCTTTTGTGCAGCAACGAGCGCAATTCCCAAGCCCTGGAAATTGTTAGACCTGCATCGTGGTTGTATATTTCGTGTTACACACCATTTGGCCTGCACCGATAACGCCCAGTGACTTGACCTCGGCTGCGCGGACTGCAGAGGTTGAGCAGAAGTTTCGGGCCACCGTAGGGCCTCTGCGAAGGGAAACAAAGCGAATAGTAGAGGTAATCATGGCTGCAGTGGTTTCTCGAGCTATAGAAAAATTAAATAAAGGAGTGAAGGAGGTAAGTGAGAGGAAGCAACTCGGTATACTGCTATGACTTCACGTGCTTTCGGACGTCATTGTCTGGTACTCGACAGTGGCCATTGAAGCATATATCTCACCGCCTTGTACTTCTCCATTCAAAATACTTTTCTCACACGTAATATTATAGATAGATGGGTATAAAGCAGAGCCGAGAATAGTAAGTCTTGAGTAGAAATAATGGGGCTATCTGCTATCCATATGATTCTGAATATGGACTGAAAGAGACATTGAAGCCGAAGCTTAAGTATCTATAGACCTGAGTATTTTGCCAGATATTGTATTATGGCCGTTAGTTTCCCCCGTAACGGCATCGGTTATCTTCGGCACTTTGGCGGCATCCAGTTTCTCCGAACCGCCGAAGCCGAACACGCGTCGACGCGTTCCCATTCAACTCGATTCGGGAAGCAAATTAATGGGGTATCAAACTAGCCCACCATGGATGAAGAGGTTGTTCCTCTAGGACACGACGTGCAAGTCGTGGACCCAGACGTGCGTAACTATGTTTACGGCCTGGTTACTGCTGTGAGTTCACTTTCCACTTTCTCCTTTAACTAACTCTTGGGTCAATTCACTGATACGCTTGGTTATCTAGCTCGGAGGATTCAATGGGGAAAATGCCGACCAATACATGCTCGGAGATGATGCTCTGGCATGTCTACGCGACATTAAACGCTGGTTGAAATTGTACGATGAAAAGAATAACCGGATGGACGTTGCGCGGTGTCTTGGAGAGGCCAACTTGATCAATGGTGATCTGCTTCCGATCCTCTCGCTCTGGTGGGCTAGTGGACAGAATAGCAAGCATATGACCAGAATTGCACTGGCGTGCTTGGAACTTCTTGTTCCCTTAACATGGCCTGTGGAGTTTCATAGCCAGATGACAGTCAACCACCACCGCCACACCCCCTACATCCAACAGACACAGGTGCAATACAAGCGAGGTATCCTCAGATCCGGGGGATTGAATCTCCTTCGCGCAGTCATTCGAATTTCTCTTCCAAGCATGGCGACCCCTCGATCCGAACGTTCAACCCGAGAGGAAGGAATCCTCAAGCTCATGTTGTACTTGCTGCGGAACATTGCGATCATATCACCCAATACCCGACTTGCTGCAGAAGGTGACGAGGAGGAGACATCCAGATCGGCGACAATCAACTCCTTCCATGAGCAAGATGCATTCGCACTTCTCCTGACCATGTGCTCTAATGTCGGCGAAGACTTCAACCTTCAAGACATTCCTCTGATGGAGACACTTTTCCATATTGTCAAGGGTGTCAACGTTGAGAAGTTGTTCATGGACGACGAGCAGAGAACCGCCAAGCGAACCGACGAGCTCAGCGATCTACTCAAAAAGGAATCATTGGTACGGAGGGAATACGCGAAGAATGCGCCTACACGCCATGGAAGATTCGGTACAATGATCTGGGTCAAGCGAGACGATGCGAAGGTGTCTACTGTCTCTGGACAAGGTGTCTTGCGGGACGACCAGACCACACTACAAAAGATGGACGAGAGCAAAAAGTGGAATAAGCCTCGACCGCGTCGCAGACAAGATGATGTGATCCAGAACAACAACTTCAATATGCCAGCTCACCTTAATTCCGAGGCCAATAAGAACTTAAGGACTTTCGTGGAGGAGTTCCTGGATTCTGGGTTCAACCCTCTATTCACCCATGTGCGGAAAGCAATTGAGCGTGAAGCCGAGCGTGTGGTACCACTAAATCATCTCCAATTCTTCTATACAGTCGGTTGGTTCCTGGAAGCAGAGCGCGTGCGACGGGCTCGACAGCTTCGCCATCGCACGTCTCAGAATGGAGGAAGAACCAAAGATATTGAGCCCGATAGTTATGGTCTGGTCGCTGGCGTCCTGAACCAAGAGATGTTCATTTCTTTGAACCGGGCTATGCAAAGTAGCCTGGACAACAAGGAATGGGAAGACCTCAATGCTCAGATGCGCTGTTTCACCCAGATTCTGTTGACTGTCCAGGAAATGGCAGTGTCGCCGCTAGAAGAAGATCAGGAAATCGCGGAGAACATCCAAAACCGAATTTTCTATGAAGAAACAACTCATGACCGGATTCTTGCTATTGTGCGCGGGTACAAAGACCAAGGCTTTGGCTATTTAGATGCCTGCACGGAGTTGGCACATGTGTTCCTGCGAATGCTGGAACGGTATTCCAAAGATAATGCCGACATGCAAATCCGCTCTCGGCGAAAGGCTAAGAGAAGGCAAAAGAAGGCTGCCCAAGTCGCCGAACAAGAGGGTGAAGATGATGACGAGGAGCGTGACTCTGAAGATGAAGACATGGAGGAAGCTGCCCAGACCATCAAGGAACGCAGCTTTGACTTTAAGCGATTTGCGGCCAAGTTCTGCAATCAAAACTGCGTGGATACCTTTATTGCGTTCACGGGATTCTACCGAGAGCTTAACTCTGAGCAGCTCAAACGCGCCCATCGCTATTTCTACCGGATTGCATTCAAGCAGGAGATGACTGTCTTGCTGTTCCGTGTGGATATTATTAGCCTTTTCTATCGTATGATCAAAGGCCCGGGCTCCATGGACTCAAGCAAGCCTGTGTTCAAGGAATGGGAGGAATTGGTCCGGCAAATAATTCGACGACTGGTCAAGAAGATCGATCAGCGTCCCGCCTTGATCACTGAACTGCTATTCAGCAAGATCAACTCAACTGTCTACTACCTTGAATATGGACATGAGAAGCAAACGATCTCCACCTACAAGCGTCCCCCGCCGGACCTTGTGATTACATCGACAGATGCAACCACGAAGGAAGCGAAACTGCACATCGTGATTGGAGCTCTTGTTCTCGATGGTAGAGCGGACCTGGTAACATGGATTAAGGATGTCTTAAGCTCCGCAGCCTCTGAAAGAGAGGACTGGGAAACCCAAGAAGAAGCTCGTTGCGCCGATAACCCCGAGACTATCAGCGTTCCCAATCCGATGATTAGTATGTTCCCCCAATACCCTGTTTCTCGATTGCCACTAACAAAGAAACAGCCGTCAAAGGCAAAAACGAGTTCGTTCAGAATTCCATGTTCTCGAACGCAAAGCTACGTTTGCTCATGACTGTCATCGGACTCGAGCGACTTGGCGTTGAAGATGTCTATGGTGCCTCTTGGGTCATTCCGGCCTCCCTCAAATCCGATGACTTGCGTGAAATAATTTCCGAAATCTTAAAATCCCTTCAAAACCCATTCTCCGGAGATCCAAATGATGATCCTCGCAAGCACATCCAACAAAAGAACAAAGGAATAGGCCGTGGCAACACGATTCAAGGCACACTTGATGTCAACTTCGGATCCGAGTCCGAAGGTGAGGACATCCCCGATGGTCCTTTATTCCCGCCGAATCCGCGGTCAAAGTCCAGTGCGCTGGATGATCTTAAGAAGAAGCGTAAAAAGAAGCAGAAGCCCACTACTGAAAGGGAGCCATTGGACGATGAAACGATAGAAGCGCGGCGTGAAGCGCGTCTATCAAACGCACTTTCTCGCCAAGCGAAGATCAAGAGTGATCTATTCATCCATGCCAGCGACGAAGAAACTGATGAAGAAGCCGACAAAGAGTTCTTCCGGCTTGAAGAAGAGCGGCGAGTCAATCAGGCCAAAGAAATCAAGAAAGCCATGCTCATTGGCACTGTCGAACCCCCAAGCAAAAGTAAAGGGAAGAAGTCTGCCGCTCGCAAGCGGACTAGCGATACAGGCACATCTGCGGCTGCAAAATCCAAGCGACAACGTCGCGATTCTGGTTCTGCTGCTAGTGGCGCTGAGAGTGATGCTGATGGCGATATTCTTATGGCGGAACTTGACGCTCAGTCGTCTCACTCCCAGCAGGAGATCTCTACTAGCCACGGCGCTGGAGAGGACGAAGACACTCCCCTCACATCGGGTGAGGATGATCTAGCTTTTGATGATGATTTCGCTTTTACTCGTGATCCCCCGAGCAAGCCCCAGGCTACGGAGTCCGAGGCTGTAGACGACGACGAGGAAGATGCGCCTGTGGCTCCAGCCCGGAGACGTATGCGTGGTGGATTTGTGATTGAGAGTGACTCTGAATAGTGGTTTCACTTCAATATGGGTGATATGTTTCGATTATGATGACCTGATGAGGCGTTTGGCATTGAGATGGAAACGGAATTGTAAAGCATCGGATACCTTAGCTCAATGAGAACAATTTTACGACCTAATATTTCCTACCCGCCCAGTCACCGAGACAGCCAGGGTCCGTGCTTGATGAAGCATTATAAAATACGAGCTTCCCCACACTTGACCTCTACTTAGTCGCAGGGAACCCATCTCTTCCTACTGACTTCCAAGATGGCTGATAACAAGACTCTCACAGCAGTGTGTCACTGCCAAAGCATCCATTTCACCATAACAATTCCCGCAGTCGCCCTTCCCCTCAAAGTCCACATATGCCATTGCAGTGTCTGTCGCTACACCCATGGCACACCATGTATTTTCCACGCCCCGCTACCAGCAGGCGTAGTACCACAGTTCGTCACTCCTTCCAGCATAGACAAACTGACACCCTACAACCATGCCGAGTCCCAGGGAACGCGGCATTTCTGCAGTACCTGCGGCTGCCACATCGGGGATAAGTCACACGATGACGGGGGCTGGGTGATATCTACGGCTATCTTCTCTGAGCCAAACCAGGGTCTATGGGAGATGCGCTCACATGCTTTTACAAAGTCCTCGCTTGATGGAGGGCTTTCCGCAATATTCTCGCATATTGGTGGTCGCCAGCTTGATGTTTTTAACCCTGAGACGTCACTGGACGTTAGCAAGTCCGGAGATTGCACCCGAACAGGCGCAGACGAAAACGAGGATGAAGAATTGCGCGCTGAATGTCACTGCGGTGGTGTTTCGTTCTCTATCGCCCGTCCTAGAAAGGAATTCCTCGCTAGACCTGCGAGCGAGGGATGGGTTTTGTCAAGGGACACAACCAAGTGGCTTGCGCTTCTTGATCTCTGTGATGATTGTCGTCTGGTCGATGGCTCGAATGTTATAGCTTGGATGTTCGTTCCGGTTGATCATATATCTCCGTCTCCACTGGGAGATTTGATTATCGGGTCGTCGAAAAGTTACAAGTCTAGTGAAGAGGTACTACGGACATTCTGTGGGACGTGTGGTGCGACGGTGTTTTATAGCTGTACAGACCGGCCGGGGATAGTTGATGTGGCGGTTGGCATTTTACGTGCACCGGAGGGGGTGATGGTTGAGAATTGGGCACTGTGGAGAGAGAGGATTAGTTCTGGGGATGATGGATTAAAGTATGATCATGACTTTAGTAAAGCGTTCATTGAGGGACTGAAAGTATGGGGGAATAGGAGGGGTATGCCGGAGGATTTTGTTCTCCCACGAATGTAGAGGTTTATTATATGTCCACTGTGCAACGGTCATAATTCAATTGTTCTAGAGACATGAGACATGAGTCTATTCGCAGTCTAGTGTGACGTTTGACGGTGAGTCAAAGCGAAAAGTGGGGGCTTACCAGGTTGTAACTATAAAAACCCATCTGACATCCCCGTTGATGTCCACAACATATCAATATCCTATTATCTCAATATCCCAACATGACTCACCTCAAATTCGTCACTCTCGATGTCTTCACATCAACACCCTACTCCGGCAACCCGCTGGCAGTAGTCTTCCTCCCAGAAGATGACTCAACCGCTCTAACGCAGAGCCAGAAGCAAACCATCGCACGGGAATACAATCTATCAGAGACTATCTTTGTCCACCCAGTACGCGAGAAAAGCAAGCGCACCATCGACATATTTACCACACGCCGCGAACTCCCCTTCGCAGGTCATCCCACCATTGGCGCAGCCTCCTGGTTCCTGAGCCACTCAGCTGACCCCGCGGATGGCGATGGCGTCACCACACTCATAACCAAGTCCGGCGAAATCCCCATCTCCGTCCAGAATCGCGAGACTAAATACGTCGCTGCGCAGATTGCGCACAATACGCATATCCACGCAGCGCGGTTTAGCTTGAAGGAGTTGGTTAGGCTGCACCCGACGTTGGCACCGTTCTTTACGCAGCCAGATGTTACTTTCCCGGTCTTTTCCATTGTCAATGGAATGAGTCAGTTGTTTGTTGAGCTTCCTTCGCTTGAGGCGCTGGCTGCTGTGACGCCTGCGACCGGTGGTGAGCTGGTTTCTGCTGAGTATCTTGATGAAGGGTGGAGGGCTGGGATCAGTGTGTACTTCTTTGTTCGGGATGTTGAGGATAGTATTTTAAAGAAGAAGGTCATTCGGTCCAGGATGATTGTGGGAACTTTGGAAGATCCCGCTACTGGCAGTGCGGCTAGTGGGTTGGCGGCGTACTTGACGCTTACGGAGGGCAAAGCTGGTCAGAATTATCAGTACCATGTTGTGCAGGGTGTTGAGATGGGACGCCGGAGTGATATTGGTGTTGGGGTTACGTTGGATGGCGACAAGAAGATTGAACAAGTTGTGCTGATAGGCACTGCTGTTAGCGTATCTGAGGGCAAGGTGCTGGTTCCTAATGTCTGAATAAAATAGTTGTATCTAGGTAAAGCGTTTAATGAGTCATAATACAATATTTCCCTTTGTTCTCACCAGTATGTAGTGTATGTAGTGTATGGAGTATGCTGCGCCACAGGCTCTGTGTAACCATTTCCTCTTTGAGTCCCCGCGAGGCTGAAAGCTGACTGTGACGTACTCTCAGCAGTCATATTAGGCCCCAGACTACATTTGACCAAATTTATAATTCTACATGGATAGCCATGTCTGAATGATTTAGTTATCTGTATTGTATCTTGAAATTTGCAAGTAAATGGCGAAATCATCTTCAGAGCCTGACTTGGAACCTAAACTCCGTCGGTATACACGACGTCGAGAATTACATCCCACACCGAAAGGGGTCCGACAAGCAAGATCAAAGGCAAATTATGTACAGGATACACATCTTATAGAGCCCCGGGAACATGAAGAGTCTCCCCTTTTCAAGAGGTATGAACCCTTACTTCCTATTATACCTTCTACTCCTAACATTGGAATTTTAGATTCTTCTCCCTTCCACAAGAAATAAGAAATAACATTTACGGAAAACTTCTCGTCCAGCCATGCAAATTTGATCTATATCACTCAGACCCATGCAAAATGCCTATGCTCCGTATAAGGCCAGGCCCAGATCCAGATCCCTGGAATAGAGACGGCCCTCAATGTGCCAATTGCCATAGCTACGTCTGGAAGCAGCCACAAGTCCCGATATTCCAGTCCCCAGCACGGAGCCAATGGGCAAAACCCCATAAAAACGCCTATCTCTGTGATAATTGCTACTGGGACCTCGACGGAAACGTGGAGGGAATCCCGTGCATGAGGTTTCTACCATGCCTATGCGGAAGGCGTGATAATCTAGCCATCCTGCTCGCCAGCAAGAGGTTCTGGAACGATGCTGCACCGGTCTTCTGGTCGGAAAACTGGTTTGCATTTGAGGACCCCTCTCTCCTAACGGGATTCTTGACTGCTATTCGTCCACAAGTGAGATCGTGGCTAAGGCGGATATCGTTTATGCCTATTCATGCTTACAACAACGATGAAAGCCCTAGGACATTTCCGCGGTATCGAGATCCAATCTGGAATGGGTGGGATGATATGAAGAGCTGCTGGAATTTACTGAGACTGTGCGAGGGGCTGACAGAGCTGGAGCTTGATGTACTGTCTCTGACGCGCAAGGAATGGGCTCAGGCCATTCGGCTAATCCATGTCAAGAAACGAGTTGTCTTTTTCTGTCTTTTGGACCTAGATGACATTACGTCTGTGTCTGGATATTCAAGGAACTTAATATGGGAGTCGCATGCTATGAGGAAACGGTTCGATTCGCCCACGACTGCTTTGCTTATTTCTAGTATGATTGGTGAAAGGGCCATCAGAAGGAAAGCCTTGATAACTCATTACTCCGAGAGTACGCTACATGAAAGATGTGGTGATTATGGGGTGGAGTTTACCGAGAAGATGATCGAGGGCCGAATGTGGAATTCATGATATCGTGGGTCAAGCACGGCGTTTTCTCGCCACTTATCTACTTCAAAGTTTCTTCTCCTCGACCAATTGCCTCAACACCTTGATTGTCCCCTCAACCGCCATCTGGCTCATCTTCTTCTCCTTCTCGAGCAGCGCCGCTAACTCCTCCTCCGAAACACCTGGGTGTCTCCACTCGAAGATATACGTCATGTATAGCTCCCCACCGGCTCCTTCACTGATCACATTACTGATTTTGCTTCCATTCGGCTGCTCAAAGTCTACACGGGTAGGCTTGAATGTTGTGACGGTCTCTTGAACTATTTTCTGGGTTTCACGGAAGAGGACTTCACGAACGGTGACGGGGTTTCCGGTCAATGAGTCGACTGATTCACTGACGACCTTGGTGGATTGGATCGCTCCTGGAACGAAGGTCTCTGCGGAACGGATCTTGAGGAGGAGGCCGTTCCATATTTGTTCGGGAGTTACAACGGGTGTTGCGCCTGATGGGTTGATTGGGGCGGTGAATGCGATGTTGTTGGTTGAGGACATATTGAGAGGATGTGAAAGGAAATTGTCTTAATGATTTGGGTTAATGCTATGAGAAATTTTGACTAGGAACCTCGTCTGAGCCTGAGGCTCTTTTATACAATCTGCTGCGAACGGCAATGACAACATCGATATGCGGATAAGGTGGATTGTAAGCTCGGCGTTACCAGGGGCCGATGAGCCGGATTTATAATATTTCTGCCTTAAATGTAAGGCTGAAATTTTCCAAATCGGAACACGCGGGGTTTTTGTAGACCAGAAATGATAAAGCAAAGATTTTTTTGGATGTCCATGGAAAGAACGAGAATTTGAAAATGCGCAGCACATGGAAAATGAGGGGGTTCTGGACGATAGTAAATTTCCCGAGTAGGCTGCTTATATTATTCTTCTGGAACGGACTCAACATTAAATTCAAAAAGCAAAACATTCAAGATCCTCAAGCACTTAGAGCAGTATCTTGTGTATATCAATTTGTTTGCATGATGTACCGAGATGGTGGACAAGATTGATATTTCAATCATCGTGCCGGGGTTCGTTTTTTTGTCTCATATAGTTCAACGCTCAATGAACTCGCAGTCATGACGAATATGGGAGCTAAAGAAACAATTTAGTCTGGAGCATATCTTCCGTCTTTTTTGTTAGGTTGGTGGCTTACCTAGGATCTAGGATATTATCACACCTGGAATTAGTAAAAATCCGAACCTGCCCATGAGAAGCCCGTAGTAGCCGAGTAAGAACGCATGAGATCCACCAAATCAAGAAACGGCATTATGCAAGAAAGAGTCATTCTGCTGAGTACCGGGAGTTGAAGCATGAATTCTCAGATAAACCACTCGCTGATAATTCCGAAGTTGTGTTTGAACAAGATGACTCCATAATATACGTCCATGGATGCTTCGGAAAATGGAGGCCGGAAGATAAGGTTGCTTTAGTGTGGGGCATCCCGCATTTTGTCCACGGGTCCTATCTTTAGTTCACCTATCATCAGCCCTGAATTGAAAAGATATATCTTAACCGTAATATAGCGTTGGAACTCCCCAATTCCGGACTTAGTGAATGATGTCCTTAGCAGAGTCCTGCACATCAGACGCCTAGGAACTCCGGAAACTACTATTTTCAGGGTCTGATCTAACCGACCTAAGGGATAACGAGCTTGTTTGCACTTTCCTAGAATATCGAAGTCTCTGACGAGAGACTAAATTTCCATAATTGACGATATTATGGAAATAAACGAGAGGGAACCGGGCGTTGTAGTTGTTGAATTTCCGACGTGATTACGAAATTGGATGTTTTCAAAGTGCTTAGATAGATCCCACAAGCTCCTATGAACTGCTATATGACAATAATCTACAATTACTTGTTCTCACCAGATGCAACACATCCAGAACTGTGTGGGAAATGGGCATTATAGTACCAACCCGTTGTGTTTTGAGCCTCGAAAGCGACTGGTACATTCCATTTCCTGGACATCTAGGACCTAAGAGGCTACGCCCGGTGTACGAATTTAGCCAGCACGGAATCCGCTTTCCACATTAAACCGCTGGTCAACCATATACTATGATCATCATATATCGATAGAGATAATGACATAGGAAGCGGAAGCCAAGAACCGATCAATAACCAGGGCTCGATTTGAAACGACTTTCTCACCACGGAAAATACGATCCGGGAATGGCTCAATACATCTCTGAGCTGAGACTATAAGTTTCTCACTATAAATCCTTCGACTAAGCAATAGAACCAAAGACCAAATTCTCAGAACCTCTGAAAATAAAACAAGATCACAAGACCAGAAGAGTCACCAGTCCACAAACATGGCCGTCGCAGTCCAATCCGCCCCAATCAGCCTCGAGGCATTGTCTGACAACATTGATGCCGTCAATGTCTACAAAACGGACCTTCAACAAGAAAAGGGACTTTACGATGAATCTGAGTTCGACAAGTCCAAAGACAAAGCCGGATTCCGTCAGTTTGACGATGCTTGTGACCAAGTCAAGAACTTCTACGCCCAACAGCACACCCTTCAGACGGTGGCATACAATCTGAAAGCACGCAACGATTTCAAAAACAAGACTCGTGCACACATGACTGTTTGGGAGGCGATGGAAAAGCTGAACACATTCATCGACGAATGTGATCCCGATACCTCCGAGTCCCAGATGACCCATCTCTTGCAATCCGCCGAAGCAATCCGTAAGGAAGGAAAGCCTCGCTGGATGCAGCTGGTCGGTCTTATCCACGACCTCGGCAAACTCCTCTTTTTCTTTGGTGCTAAGGGACAGTGGGATGTGGTTGGTGATACCTTCGCAGTTGGCTGTGCCTTCGACGATAGGATTATCTTCGGCAACAAGTCCTTCAAGAACAATGAGGACTACAACAGCGAGATTTACAGCACCAAGTTTGGAATCTATTCTCCTGGCTGCGGATTGGACAACGTTATGCTTTGCTGGGGCCACGATGAGTACCTTTACCATATTGTCAAGGACCAGTCTACAATTCCCGAGGAGGGCCTGGCAATGATTCGGTACCATTCGTTCTACCCGTGGCACCGGGAGGGAGCGTACCATGAGTTGATGAATGAACATGACCATAAGATGCTGGAAGCTGTTAGGGCTTTCAACCCTTACGATCTGTACAGCAAGAGTGACGAAGTCCCTGATCCAGAGAAGCTGAAGGCAAGCTCATCCCTTCAGTATTTTGATTCTACTGCAAACATATGCTAACGTGAATATTAATGAACAGCCTTACTACATGGAGCTCATCGATGAGTACTTCCCCACAAAGGTCATTAGATGGTAGTTGAACTTTCGTGCGGCCTGTTTTTCAAGTCTGTGCAGAGAATATGCTAAGGAATGCCATTTGAAAGAAGTTCACTATTATCTATAACCCGTTATGTCTATCGTTTGGAATAAAACTAGTCTTTCGTTTCTTCTATTCTGAGATATGATTTACTAAGTGGTCTTGATTCCGAGCCCACCAGACTTGAGGTGGTAGTAGTATAACTAGCTTCACGGTAGGAATGATATCCACATTTCACGCTCCCCTGCTCCTTCGATTCTCCGTGGACCTCCGCTCGCCACACAATAGCATACCCCTGGTCCAAACACACACCAGTTGGTGCTTCCATCCCCTCCAGGGCTGCAAATTTCATCCATTCTATCGGATCGATTCTCTTTTGTCTCGGTTTATGAAGGATAAGGACCAGTCTATAGCACTCGACGGCCCAGGAAGGTCGACCTCAGGAGTTCTGTAGGAGTAATCCTGTCTCAGGGGTGTCAGATTTCGGTCTGTCAACGGGCAGTTCGTTGGTGGGGTAAGGTATGGACGAAATGTTCCGATCAGCGGGCTGCTATTGTTTCTTCTGGCAGGAAACTTCAATCGATGAAGACTAAACTCCAGCATTGTGGTTTAGACACTACCAGCTTGCGAGCCCCTTAGCCCTGTCAAATCCCCCTCTAAGCTGCGAATCCGGATGAACGACCTTCCCTTCCAGGATTGTGTACTTCACGATCCCCTCACAATGCTCCGGTTTGACCCTAGCCAACCAGATCATCTGCTGTTCTTTCTTCCGATAAATCAGCACATTTGCAGAGAACTTATGTCCTCCAACGTGAGAGACGAAATAAATCCCCACGCCACCAGGGCGCTCATCATCCATATCTCGGTAAAGATCATGTCCGCGCAGATGTCGATCCATCTCCTTCTTGATTAATGGCGCTGTAATTCCACAGCGCGCATCACGCCGCTTATGCGAGCATAGCAGGACTACGTAGTCATGTGGACATGGTCGGGAACTCAATCGTGGACTGCTGATGGATTGGGTTGGGCTACCCACTGGCACGTCAATGAACGTCTCGACCACGTGCTGGACATCTGAGTAAGAGACGTCATCCACAAAGGTAAACGATGGTAGTAGGAGCACTGTTGTCTTAGAGGTATGAGGCACCTCTCCACCCGGTGGAGTAAGGTTTGACGCGGAGATCATAAGGCGCTTTTTGCACGCAATTAGCATATTTCCAAGATTTTTCTGTCAGATCAAATAATAAACAAACCCCGTGCTTGGATTTTGCGTTGGATTTGAACGCCTCCATTAAACTTCCATTCTCTTGTTCGACCTTCTGAACCCAATCTGTTTGGCCTGTGGCAACGAGTATGTGCGCGTGGAACTCTTTGATAAATCCATACATCGGAAGACTGGTGTCAATCTTGACGTTTTGTGGACATTTTACAGTGCAGTCATTGCAGTCGGAACGGCAGTCGTCTCCGTCGACTTTCGGATCGACTTCGGGAAAGATGTATTTTGGGCGTCTGCCAGTGATCGCCAATAGTGAGCGAAACATGGTATATACACTCAAGCCTTTATTGTTGAAGTAGGGTATGAGTTGAAAATTATGAACGTGTGTGTGTTGTGACAAAACAGTTATTATGTTGGGGATATGGCAGAGTTCGCAAAGAAATAGAGCTGCCTTCGTATGAGATAAGAGAGGAAGAATGGAATAAGACAGAAATTAGCCTAGCTATCTACGGCAAGGCTCCTTTTACTTCTCCCTTCAAGACATCAATTGAGGGCCCAACATTATTTTGAGACATCTCAATCAGGCAAGCGACGGGACAGGGCTCGGATTTAAGATAAAGTTCGGACTTAAAATCTCCATTGGGTAAATATACCGAAATACGGAGTACTTTCGAGCCCTTCATTTTTTCCGCTCCGAGGCTGCCATTGCTCTGTTTATCTGCGCAGGGCTTACCCGCTCGTGCATGGAACGGTGTGGATACAGATGGGTTGTAGGCGTTTTGCGGCTGCGGATGATCTGCAACTTCATGGGGTCTCGGAGCGGGATCGGTAGAGGGAGTGGGGGAGATATGCTGTCAGGTCGCACTTGGTGGTACCTATATTCCTAGATAGGTAGCTGATATAATGAGTAGATCATTATAAGATACCTTGTTCAAAGGCGAGAGATATATAATATCAACAGAATCTATAATCTTCCCAAAAGAAGCCCCGAACTCGATCGGATATTTTGCTCGGCTGAGCCAGCAAATCTGGTAATCCTCGGATATATCGGGCTTTCCCCGTTTTGGTAATCTCGCAGTACGATGCGACATGGTGTATATATAAATATCACTCTGCTAGGATATCGAGAGCCAACAAAACCAGAAGCCCTTTCTTCAGAAACGAATATTCACCAACGCTATATAACCCTCACTTTTTACGTACAAACATAATGACCGATTTCAAGACCGACGACTCCAAGGCCCCGCCCTACACCTCTGTCGACCATGTCGAGCTACTCAATACCGAGAAACAACAGCAAAAACTGTGAGTCTCTAGAAACCCAAACCCCCACAACTCTATTTCTTGTTAGAACGCGGCAGCTGCTAACTAAAGTCCAATTAGGACAAGCCCCAAACCAGATTGCTTAACCCACGGGCCCAGCCAAGTCCCCCTTCTCGATCATGAATTGCAGAAACCGCAGGCCAAAGACATCATACAAACACTGGCAGCTGCATTGAATGATATGGTAGATGAGAAGAAGTGCACTAAATGCACGGTGGAGAATATTTCGACTCTACTCACCGGCCACGTCCGGGATCTCAGAGTTGCCAAGCAGAATGGGGTGTGGTCTAAAGAAGACAAGAAGGCTCTCAAGACGGAGATTAAAGGTCTTCTCAAGCCAGTCAAGAAGGATGTGAAGAGCTTATGGAAGGCTAACTAATGGTTGTATTCTTTGCTTTTGGATCAAGATAGCACCTACGCAAGTGTATACTAGAAGGTGTTCTATAATGTAATCTCATTTTCGGAGTTTTTATTTAAAATGGCCAATAGACGGAGAGAGAGAGAGAGAGAGAGAGAGAGAGAGAGAGAGAGAGAGAGAGAAAGCCAATTAGACTTTCATACCTGAGAGTAACCTTGGAATGTTTATAGTCAATGTTATTGTGATAACATATAATTCGGTTACAATAGTCCTCTAAGCCATTAAGTATAAATTTGCCTTGAAAAAGTCGAGCGACTACACAGATCAAACCATCTCACTATCACGGGCAATGTCTAGTCTACTGGGGACTTGATTGGATGCTCGGAGTAACCTTTTGATCGAGGTTAGGGCTGAAGTGATAACCCCGAGATACGACCGAATGGGGTTAATCCCCGGGATTTTCCCAATGGGGTTCACATCTTGGGAGGCTCAATGATGAAGTGACAACATCCGAGAGACGACCGAATGGGGAAATAACCCGATAAATGAAGCTCATGTATAAAGAGGAGGTCAAGATGAGGTCAAGCTTTCATCTGTGTTTTAATCTCTGATCAATTTCGCCGTGAAAGATCGATATGGGCGACAAGACAGAGGTGTTTGCTCTTTCTCCAGAGTCCATCCCTCCAGAAAAGCCCGTGGGGCCATCTCCACCTCCAAATGGTGGTACACTAGCATGGCTCAATGTACTTGGCAGCTTTATACTGTACTTCAACACATGGGGCATCCTGAACACCTTTGGCGCCTACCAAACCTACTATGAGTCTGGCGCTCTCTTCCACTCCAATTCATCCGACATCTCCTGGGTGGGCTCAATTGCCGCATTCATGCTGCTGTTTGTGGGAGTGTTTGTCGGTCCCATCTACGACCGCGGCTACCTCCGAACGCTCCTCATTGTGGGCTCCTTCATGGTTGTTTTCGGGCACATGATGTTGAGTCTGTGCTCCGAATTGTGGCAGGTTGTGTTGGCGCAAGGATTCGTCGTCGGAATTGGAACGGGATGCCTATTCGTTCCATGTGTCGCCATCATCCCTCAATACTTCACGACTAAGATGGGAGCCGCAATGGGCGCAGCCGCTTCGGGGTCCGCACTCGGCGGTGTCATTTACCCCATCGTTCTGTACCGACTCATCAATCAAATAGGCTTCCCCTGGGCAGTGCGCGTTATCGGATTCATTGCGCTAGGAACACTACTCCTTCCAATTAGCATCATGCGTTTTCGCGTGCAACCGCCCAAGGTGCGCGCCATGATCGATCCCACCGCGTTCAAGGACCCAGCTTATCTGGCTTTCGTGTTCACTTCGCTCATTGCATACATGGGGCTATTCGTTATCTTGTTCTACCTTTCCTTCTTCACTGAAGCAACTCAGATCACGGATAGCAGTTTAGCCTTCTACATGGTGCCCATCTTCAACGCAGCTTCGGTCTTTGGTCGTACAATTCCAAACAAACTCGCCGACCGTTTCGGCCCCTTCAACCTTCTCGTTCCCGCTGCGCTATCCTCGGGCATATTGATGTTCTGCATGATGGCAGTTCATTCGAAGGCAGCAGTCATCGTCATGGCGATTCTGTCCGGCTTCATGAGTGGTGCGCTGATTGGACTGCCACCTATGTGTCTGGCCATTCTGACGGCGGATAAGTCGAAGCTAGGTACCCGTCTTGGCATGGGGTACGCAATCATCGCGTTAGGAGTGCTGGCTAGTGGTCCCAGCAGTGGTGCAATTCTCAGGAACGGTGGTGCATCACTCGATTGGCACAGTTTGTGGGTGTTCGGTGGCGTTCCGACCTGCGTGTCGGGACTAGGGTATGCGGCGATTAGGATCTTTAAGTATGGGCCAAAGCTGAATTTAAAAGCGTGAGAACTGGCTTTACCAAAAGCATGAAACCAGCCTAATGGTATGAAAACTGTAATCACTTGCTGGAGTTTGAAACAGATGCCATACAGGCTCGACCATAGAATTTAACATTAATGCAAATCAACACGGGGACCTTCATACTAGCCCTAACCAATGGCCAAAGGCACTTTAGGGTAGGGAATTCTGTATACCTATCATGGAATAGCACAGCAAACTGACGGAAATGGTGAAAGTCATCCTGAAGATCTTGGCTCGTAGCCTCCCCAGAAGTGGAACCTCTCAACTGGCGTATTTGATTAGCTGGCGATTAACCCATCTGCGCCTTTGCAACTGCTAAACTACGCTCCACAATGTACCAAGCAAGCTAGCTAATTTGGAGGTGCGCCAATTAATTACAATTACCTTGGTTTTTCACAAAATTGACCCTAAAAGTATACAGTGGGCGAGCACACCAACTTTGGTAACGTCTCGGTCCTGCTACAAGAAGGGACTGAGAGTTTGGAAGCTCTGTATATTTCAACGGATACCTGGGTACCCATTCCAGTAAACCTCTACTCATACTTTATCAATATAGGCGACATCATGCAGAAGTGGACGGTTGGATACTACCGTAGTGCGCTTCATCGGGTTGTGAATTCCAGCACCAAGGCAAGATATAGTGCCCCTTTCTTTATCAATGAAAACTTGGATCTTGAATGTCATGCATTGTGTATATTGTATCAAAGCGAGATAGTTATAGCGTAATGCAAAATATATCAAAAACAAAACGAAGAGAGTAAAATGGTGAAACTAACTTCGAGTGTGTCAGTAAAAGATAGCTGTCCTATTCTGTCGACCTTAAATACAATGATGGCACTAGCTTGTTGAATTAACTAAGTTGGTACAGATTTCCTTCTGTTCTTTAAATGCACTACCTAATACATGCATTTAACACTTAGTTATTTCACTAAATAGTCGTACGAGACTAATACATGACACACAACCAAGCAAATCTTGCACTTCCTGTTTCAAGAGTACAGGTAGAACCTACAAGGATTTTACTGGGAAGAGATGGCGATACCGAGAGGGAAATGCAAAGATGGACAGTGTCGACTCTCTTTCCCAGGATAACGAGATTGACAACATGGTATGAGGCTAAGCCTGGGAATTGTCACTAACTACATGTCACTTGCTTTGCTTCCACATGCATGTGTCACATGCGAGACATTGTTCTTTGTTTGTTACTTTATGTCTTTGGTTCCAACCTGTGGGGGGGGTTGTTTCTCGCAAAGTCATACGATGGGAGTTTCCCGGAGCCACCACCTACGGGTTTGCATGGAAGATTTGTAGTAGTGGGGTTTTCTGCATTTACCTCTTAAAAGGTTTCTCTACTTCTTTTCTTTCTCTTCCTCTTTAATATCTTACTAGTAGTCCTTGATAGTAGAAAAGCAACCTTGTTCTCGCTAAGTTTCGTCAGGAGCAATGTTATGGGCTATACAGTTATGCCGTTTCTACAGCTGAGCCAAAGTATAAAATATGAGAGCAGGTCAAAGATGTTCAATCGCTTGTCGTTGATTGTCATTAAGGAAAGTGGTTGATATACATAATAATGTTCAGCTCATAATCCGAAGCACCATTCCATCTTCATTCAAGGGAGAGCAGCAGGGGCGTAGCTCTGGTCAGGCTTGACAACCTGCCCACCTGCAAGCTGCTTATCGGTATAGGCAGGCCAGATGATCTGCTTTGATGCGTTGTCGACAACAGAGAGAGTAGTGAAGCCGTTCTCCTCGCCGAACTGGCCGCTCCAGCCGGAAGTGACGGTGAATCCGCCGCAGGCGGCGGGGCCACCGTTGGCGCGGGAGGCAGGGCTGCCTGCTACGACGTAGGTGCAGGGAGTGGCATCACCAGCGCCAGGGTAGATGCCGAAAGTCCAGGTGCAGGAGGTGTCTTCGGGGTTGCAGACACGCTTGGTGTTTTGGAGGGTCCACTGGGGGCTGTCGGCCATCATGGACTTAACGGAAGTGTCTGCGGGAGCAGCGAAGGCTGAGGAGGCCAGGAGGCCGGTAGTGAGGATGAGTTGAGTGAGCTGCATGATGATGGTAGAGTATTTGGATGGTTGGGTGGTTTGAGTAGTTGATTGAAGTATTTGAGTTTGAAGGATGTTGGGTGAGAATGAAGAGGATAGCATGGGAGGAATGAAGCTATTTATGCCTTTTCCTTCATGTGTGATATCAAGTTTGACCTTATTGCAGATGACATTCTGCCCTTTCGTCCAACTCGAAATAGAACAACACAGATCCAGGGATGTAACGTCGAGTCAGGTAATACCCGAAATACGTTACTCCACAACGGTGTGGATTTATGTAGAACTGAGACAGCCCTGCTATGATTTGTGCATTCACCTCTTTTACTTCCTCTTCATTTCTCCACATGGCTGCCAACATGAATTCTTTTTTACCCAAGACATCCAAGACATCCTCAAAACCCAACCAATCAGGTGTTCGCATAGCTGCAGGTTCACCCCGCAAATATGGGCAGGCCGGCTGTCGATCACTGATCGATGACCCTATCTCATATCCTGTTATACGAAGTAATCAATATCGCATGATGGTTCGACCTCCAAGGGTCGAGGGTATTATTTCGGGACCCTGTAACCCCGGTTACGCCACGATTTTCACGCCACCCTCAGGAACCTTGGAATGGTGTAACGGAAGAATGATAGAAGTGGGCTGGGGCCTGAGACTACAGAACATTCATTGGAGAACAGTTTCTTGGTAAGAACATTGCCTAGGGAATCCTTTCTGAATGGCCCGCATACCGTCTTCCCGGGATCGCATTCCATATCCGAAACAATATTAAATGGATATCATTTTTACCCGGACATTAATAGATTATAATGAGCAAGTGGATTTTGAAGTAGCCGAACTCCGTTAGGCCCCCCTATCTCTGTTCTGGAGGTTTGAAGCCTAAATCGAGCAGTTCAGCTAATGATCAGGTTTCTTGTTTGGTCTCTTTGCCACATCTCAGCCCCAAACTTTTCCGAGGTTAAGAGAACATTATAGGTGAGCTTTTGATTTATTATCCGGTGGATCTTGAAAATGAACGAATCTCGGGTCATCCGGGGGTGCC